TGTCGCTGGAATAAGCTACACTTCTTCGGGTTCAAGTACAGGTGAGCATTCCGTATGCGGCCGAAGACTTCTTCTAGATTTCGCAAATGCTCCTCAAAAGTTCTTCCCATAACCAATACATCGTCGAGGTAAACCAAGCACGTTTTCCAAGTTAATCCTCTTAACACCACCTCCATGAGACGTTCGAAAGTGGCTGGAGCATTGCATAATCCAAACGGCATGACCTTGAATTGGTATAGTCCGTTTCCTGTAGAAAAAGCCGTCTTTTCTTTGTCTTCCTCGTCCAGACCAACTTGCCAGTATCCACTCTTTAAGTCGAGAGTGGAGAACCAGCACGAACCTGCCAGTGTGGTTAACGTGTCGTCTATACGTGGCAGTGGGTAGCTGTCCTTCTTAGTGACGTCATTGAGCTTCCGATAGTCCACGCAGAATCGTGTACTACCATCTTTCTTCGTCACCAAAACAACAGGAGATGACCATGGACTCGATGATTCTTCGATAACTCCATCTTCTAGCATCTTATCTACCATTGTCTCCATTTCTTGTTGTTTGGAAAGGGGCACCCTTCTAGGACGTTGTCGAATCGGCTGAGCATGACCAGAATCGGCTGAGCATGACCAGTAGCAGTAATCCGGTGCTTCACAAAATCCGTTCTTCCACTGTTGTTCTTCTCAAAAATACTGCCATGCTTTAGCAGGAACTGCTTAGCCTTCTGTTTCTCCTCAGATGTTAGGTGATCCCATGGCTGCTCTAGATGTTTTAGTGTTTCTTTGGATGCCATTTGTGTAACAGCTGACGGCACTTCATCACATGGGGTGACACTTCTTACAGGTTCGCAGATGGCTATCTTGTCACCTTTTTGAATCTTGACACAATTCGGGAAAACATTCGCAATTCTGATCGGTATATTCTTGTCAGTGTTCACCAATGACTTTCCTACTAAGTACCTATCTTGTTTGTTGTCGCTACTTTGTACCAGTCCAACACAGCACCCAGCGATTTTCTCCACTTTACCGAATACGATCTTCTCGGTATTATCAGGTATCACCACAGTTTCCGCTGATCTTACATCCATTCTTCCTAGTCCCCCGTCTGGAGATAACATGAACTCTTCGTTTCCGATATTTAGGATATTTCTTTGGTGATCGAACGAAAATCCATGTTGACGAATCACATCCATGCCCAAGATGAAGTCATCTTCAATATCCGCCACTAAAACGCTATGCTGGAACTTCAAATTTCCTAACTTCAGTTCGACGATAGCCTCTCCCCGTGCAACGGCTATTTCCCCCGTGACTGTACGTAAACACACTCTTCTTCTCAGAGGTATCAGCTTCAACCCTTGCACTGAGTTAGCCCGTACCAACGATACCATAGCGCCAGTGTCCACAGTCATTCGAATTCCCTTTCCATTGACTTTCCCGTCGATCACCAAACTGTCAGCGGTTCTTCCTAGACTCCTAATGGAAAAAATCCTGGGGGCTCTGTTCTCCCCAGTCAATACTTGCCCCTTAGTATTGACTGATTTTAGTTTTCTTGGTGCCTACGTTCTCTGGATGGTGAACGGGATCGCATTTGAACGCGGCAATCCCGTTTGATGTGGCCATTCCTGCCACATCTATAGCACCTTATGTCCTGGGATCTTCTCTGGTTCTCTGTCTGGTTATTGTTGACTCCCTTGTTTATTAGTAGCTCACATTCAAGATCTTCTACGGTTTCTTGAAGTTGATTTTCCTGCCGTTTTTCCAGGTCTTCAAAATTCTTCTGTAGTCGAAATTCCTGATTTTCCAAAGTTTTCTTAAGACGGTCCTGATCTTCAAATTTTTCTTTCTGGCGACGCATTTCTAAATCTTCAACCATTTTCTCCAACCGTTCTTGTCTAATTCCTTGATTTTCTAAAATTTTCTGAATACGGTCCTGTTCTTCTTGTCTTTCTTTTTGACGTCGCTCCTCCAAACGAATTTCCAAATTACCCAGTATTTTCTCAAGCCGGTCCTGTTCTTCTTGTTTGTCTTGTTGTCGTTGAACTTTCAAATCTTCGAAAATGTTCTCAAGCCGGTCTTGTTCTTGTTGACGTCGTAGTTTTTCCTCTTCCTTTTCTGTTTCTAATCGGGCTCGCTCTTCTTCTCGTTCTTTACGGAGTCTTTCTTGTTCTTCTGCTTTCTCCCTTCTCATATTCTCCATAAAATCGCCTAATAGTTTGCTTACTTCCTCCATTTTCTTCGCTTGTTCCCTTGTACCAACCATAAAAATACTCTAATCCGGTCTAAAAATCTTCCAATCCACTTAATTTCTTCTTAAAATCCTCTTGAATCGCACTTCCGACACCAATTGTTACGGATTCCGTGGGTCCACTATTTAAACTCACGATAAAATACTTAACGAATTTATTTGTCTCACTCTGTACACACAACTTATACTATTTACAACACAAGTTATGCAACTACTATTACTCTAACGGTATTTCATGGTATTATCAAACTTCAGACTATCTTCAGACTTGTCCAACTGTCAAAGCGCGGGCCTTATATACCCCCTGGCGATGGTTTCTGGAATTTTCTAAAGAATTCTGTAATTTTCTTTTACTTTCTGTCGAATTCGCCAGGTTCCTCAATGCACGTTGCGGTTATGCAACCAGTAATACACCTTGACCTTAACAATATGTTAGAATGTTATATTGAGTCAAACATAACAAACATAAGCAAATGGCAGCTGATTTATATTTTGAGCGGTATCCAGAGCGCGAGCAACCAAACCCAGCCATTTTTAAAAGGTTAGAAGATAGTTTAATCAATTTTGAATCTTTTCAAAAACCGGGCCTGAAAAGTTATCAGAAAGAAGATGAATAAAATCAATATATTAATGTCCTCGAAGCCCTAACACTAGATCCAACAACATCAAGTAGAGCTACTGAAATTCTGTTAGCGGTGCGCGGCGGCGTGCGGAGACGGTACCAACTCTGTCTAGATAATAATGGGCAGCAGTCTGAACATTTAATGTAGTCTGTGTTTTTATTTTTTTATATTAACTGAGAAGCCCGATCGAAGTAACCTCTTGAGTTTATATTAAAATATGTTTTTTTTTTGTTTCTGTCACACTTATTTATTTGCTTGGTATTGTTCCATTTTATTTAACTCCGAGGACAATAATATATTGATTTTCTTCATCTTCTTTCTGATAATTTTTTAGGACGCGGTTTTTGAAAAGATCCAAAATTTGATTAAACTATCTTCTAACCTTTTAAAAATGGCTGGGTTTGGTTGCTCGCGCTCTGGATACCGCTCAAAATATAAATCCGCTGCCATTTGCTTATGTTTGTTAGACTCAATATAACATTCTAACATATTATATTCCTTTAAATTTTCAAATTAACTCATTTTTTTATTATTTAAAATACACGCGTCAATCTGTTAAAATAAAATGTTCCGCATCCATCAAAGGTATGTTCCGATCACCATGACAACCGTTTACTTTGTTCCTCGGCGCGGCCTACTATTTACTAAGTGGATATTTTAAGAAAAATTTGAAAAGTTGTGGTTAATAGTGAAAATAAATATAGAGAGTTATATATTTTCGAGAAACCCATGCCAAGCTGAATAAGAAAATTTAAAAATATACAGGGGGTTCTATATTAAAGTGCCCTTAGAATGTATAATTCATATTTCCGTAGTTGCTGAAATAAACAAACTATCGAACATCTTCAAAAAGTACAAAATTTGAGAATCCCCCTGTAGCTTCGAAACCGATCAAGATAGCCACGATCCGCTTGCGCCATTGTAATTTTTTCAAAAAAAGAATCCGAGACTGCAGTATCAAAATTTGAATATTTCTCACTGTTTCCTAGATACCCTATAGAAACAACCAAAATGGTCCAACCTGTATATTTCAATTCACGAAATATTTCTATTGCATCATACAGAATATTCTAAGAACTAAAAAATAACGTACGACTGTAATAAATTTATTCAATAATCCCCACTGTTAAGATAAAATTGTACACGTTGTCTGAATAAGATCCAATAAGATAGAGAATAATAATCGTCTATCTTTGTCAAAAGAAAATTACATATACATATACATAATTATTTCTTTAAAAGTGTATTCCATTGTAAAACAAGGTCAATCAGGTTGTGAAACTAAAGTAAGAATCTGTTCCTGAAAAATATCGGTTAAATACGGAAGAGTTTGGTAAAATACTGGAAATGTCAAATGTTAACGTTTTCTAAATTTCAATACCCACAGATAAAGGAAATAAAAACTTGTGTTAAATAAAACGTGGCATTAAAAACTAAGACACTGTGTTGTGAAATGTGAACTGCAAAACCCATTGTGGATCGTGGCATAACATCGCGTCGGTTTCCAATGTTTCATATGTATTTCGCATAGATGTCCTTATATAAATTAAAGTTTTTTGTATGCAACACACTGTATCTTATTTATTAAATTAAAAGAAAATAATAATAAATTTGAATAAATACCTAATATTTGGCAACATAATTCCGGAAAATGCCGAACCGATCCGAAATTATCAAAAGCTTTGGGTCGCGACCGTTGTAAGAATAGCGCCAAATAGTGTTTACTGGCACTTTCCAATCTAAACTTGTTTCATTTATCTATGTCAATACCTTTATTATAAAATTTATCTTTACGCACTTTTAATGTATGATATTTTTAATATACCTATTCTTTGTTTTGACGCTTGATTCTTCTTTTCAATGGAGTTTAATATTGAAAAGTACTCAAGTAAAGGAAAAAAAGTAGTCAGCTCAAATGATGAACATTTGCAGGCCTGTGTGGCCATATAGGTAACTGGTCGATATTAAAATAAATCATTAATAAATAAATAAATCTAATCAATATTTATATTGTCATAGTTTACGAAATATTTATGATTACTTCTTGTCTTGTTTCTCATGATTTCGCCCAATCCTTGATTATAAAACTTTTTGATGGTAGGTTATTACTAACCATATTAAAACTATTTCAAATTTATGCTGTAGGTACGTATGGTCCGACCGTCTCCCGACGGCACCCTCCTGGCCAGCTGTTCCAATGACCAGTCGGTCCGGATCTGGGTCGTTTCCTCCAAGGAATGCAGGAGTGAACTGCGCTCGCACGAGCACGTGGTGGAGTGCATCGCCTGGGCCCCCGATATCGCCACCGGAGCCATCAACGAAGCGGCCGGGGCTGATAATAAGAAAGGGGCCCACATGGGTCCATTTTTAGCCAGCGGAAGCAGGGACAAATCCATAAGGTCAGGATAAGTAATATTCTTTCTAAGAATGTATAGTTTTCTAATTGAAAAAAAAAACTACATTTAAATATCGTTCATTTGGTATTAACGACATAGGAACAGCTATGATGATGCTGTTGCTCTGATGCTCTATAACATTTTTATTTTTTATCCGATTTTTATATTTTTAATATTTTTCCTAGTTTGCTTCAATTTCACATCAATTTACATTAATATATGATAATAATAATAATTTCAAACGCCATCAATATGATTCTTAAATCTAAACTCAACGCTAAAAATCAGATTAAAGCTATAAATACATACGCTATCCCACTGTTAACATATACATTTGGAATTGTTAAGTGGACACAAACAGAAATAAAAGACATTCAAACAAAAACAAATGTCGCCATGACGAAACATAGATGCCACCATCCAAAAGCGGCAGTAGAAAGAACTACACTCAAACGGAAAACGGAAAGATGGTGGTAGGGGACTTATAGATCTATCTAACTTGCACAATAATAGTATAATATAAGTAATAAACCTAAGGAAATACTTCTACTCAACACAAGCAGAATCTCAATACTATAGAGCTATTGTAAAAGCAGATAAACACACCCCACTAATACTAAGTGACGAAGAAAAAACCTGGTCCATAGTGGAAGACGCAGACAAGCTTACCCGCTGGAAAGAAAAGGCTCTACACGGAAGGTTTCCCCATGACGTAGACACTGTTGACAAACAAGCGTATAATTGGTTAAAACGTGGAGAGCTACAACCGGAAACTGAACGGTTTTTTATAGCCATCCAAGATCAAGTGATTAAGACCAATAACTACCGAAGATACATCTTAAAGGACGGAATTGAGTCTGACTTATGCCGAAGGTGTAAGAAAGCAAGTGAGACAATATATCACGCATAGGAGGAGGCCAAACTATAGCACAGAGTGACTACACATTTAGACACGATCAAATGGGAAAGATCATACACCAAGAACTAGCATTGAAGTATAAACTCATAGAGCTTAAAGTTAACTATTATCATTATGAACCTGCTACAATCCTTGAAAACAATGAATATGAAATGTACTGGGACAGAACTATAATAACAGATAAAAGACTAGAACACAATAGACCAGACATAGTAGTGAAGAAGAAAAAAGAAAATGAAGTGTTGCTCATAGATTTTGCGGTGACAAACAACAATAACCTAACACAAACATACAGAGAGAAGATTACCAAATATATTGATTTATGCTTTGAAATTAAGGATATGTGGAAATACGATCGAGTCCGGGTCATCCCATTAGTACTATCGAATATGGGTGTAATACCAAAAACACTAATTGAATCGCTGAGGGCAATAGACTTAGAACCATACCAGTACCGACTTATACAAAAATCTGTAATCCTTAACACCTGCCATACAGCAAGGCGATTTCTATACATGTAACTTAACCGGGAACGTTTCTAAACCGTAAAAGTTATCACCATCATGGTTGAGACGAGTCACTCCCCCAACCACGAGAAACCAACGGATGTAGTTGAGATAAAACGAAATAATAATAATAATAATAGTAACTTTTTCATGCCTAACTCTTACTCTTATTATTTTGTTTCTAGTAGCCAAAGACGCCTTACACGCTAAAACGCTTTAGTCGCTTTCTGTTTGGCTGTAGACTAAAGCGTGTTTAGAATAATAAATTTGGGTATTTTTAATACAATATACATAAATAATACAACTATGTTTCTTTGTAGAATTTGGGATGTAGGAGCTGGAATTGCATTGTTTGTACTTACTGCTCACGATAATTGGATTAGAGGAGTGGTGTTCCATCCCGGAGGCAAGTTCTTAATTTCCGCCAGCGACGACAAAACGTTGAGGGTTTGGGACTTAAGGAACAAACGTTGCATGAAAACGTTAGAGGCTCACAAACACTTTTGCACCTCAGTAGGTAAGTACAAAAGATACAGTATAGTTTTTTGTTGTTACATAGATAAAAACTATAAATGACGATATAACAGTGACAGTTCCTGTCTTACATTTTCCTACCACGAGCAGCAGCTTATCTTCTTCTACAAAGTATAGCTTCTTTAATACTATTTTTTTTTGTTCTTCCTTATTTTCAACGTTTAGTGATAACATTGGGGAAGCACAATTTGATTGTGATGGACTTCGTATTCGGGTGAAGCAATATTAGATACTATGTAGTCTACTAGACTGTGTAGCTGATAGTGTCATTTAAAAATAATAACATATTCTAAGAAGTCCTACTTCTTTTTTTCGTCAGCAGATTCGCTAGGACTGTATTCGCCTTTCGTTCATACGAATTTGTCTCAAGATTCGCCATCTTTTTTGTGATATGGAAAATGTGTATGGAAAATGATTTCCGAATGTCCGGATGAAATGTGTATGGAAAGTGTATGGAAAATGATTTCCCTAAATTCTGTATAAATTTTCTGTCATAACTGATCCCTGATTGTTTTAAACTTGTCTCTTAAGGGTAGCCCTGAGTCACACAAGCCTTGTCTTGCCCAAACATCTCATATTTTTTTCTAACCTCAAAAAACCTACCGCAAGTCAAGATTTTCGAATATTGTACGGATCTCAACCAAAATCGGTATAGGGTTTTTTTGGGTCGCTGATCATGAATCTGACTTCGGACTGGCAGAATTCAAAATGACGGATCCAATATGGCGGACGCGAATTTCAAAAAATGCATTGGACAAAAGTTTGTATATGGGAGTTTTTTGGGTCGGATTTGGAATCAAATGGGTCACTGCTCACGAGTCTGACGTCGGATTCGGAAAATTCAAAATGGCGGATCAAATATGGTCGACGCGAATTTCAAAAAAACCACGGATCCAAACAAAATCAGTATATGGGAAATTTTTGGGTCATTTAAACATATACTGAAATCGGTGTATAGGTTTTGGGTCTAGTTTAACACAAAACCTATACAGATTTTGGTTAAGATCCGTGTGATTTGCGAGAATCATGACTTGTGGTGGGTTTTTTGAGGTTAGAAAAAATATAAATCAAAACAGTTGTTCGAGTCATTTTATTTATGTTGGCACAATAGACTAGATTCTCAAAATGATGGCATCTATTTTATTGCACCCTATTTAAACGGTAAATTGCGCTTGCAACCGAATTGCATGCCATTTTTAAAAATTGCATTGCATCCATTTGCATCTAGTGTAAACATAGTTTTAAGAATTTTATAGTTTTAGTATTTCAAAATAAATTATTTACATATTTTTCTTTACAGATTTCCACAAAGCACACCCTTACGTTATTTCCGGCAGCGTAGACCAGACAGTAAAAGTGTGGGAATGTCGTTAAGAAATTCTACTCACACGTCTGAAGAAAATCTATAAGAAAAGAAACATTTCTAAAATGAAAAATACGCGGGTGAAGATATAAAAATAGAATAACTATAGCCCCGAATGCCAACAATCGTTTCATACGTCGTTTATAAGTTCATTTTTTTTAAGTAAAAAAAAATATCCATATACCACAGGAATGTCTTAAAAACATGACGAGTTTATGGACTTTTTATTTTTCTAAAGTAACGTATGTAATTTAAGCAGATAACTTATTATTTAATTATAAAGCCGAAAATAGGGGACAAATTATCACTTTCTCAACTCAACATCTTCCTCCAAGTTTACGAAGATGACGTACCAAAATAGTGAATTTTGGTACGTCAGATGTATTTAAGTTCTTTTTTTTCTATGTGATATTATCGGTGCTGAGTCAAGAAAGTATATGTTCCATTTTTTAAATATAGTAGTTTTAGATGCTTCCAAGATATAAAATGCAACATAATATATGTAGTTACATGTTTGGGAATACAAAAAAATATCTTTTAGTAATTTGAATAGTTCTCCTTAAAAAGGAAAATTCTCGTTATGCATGAGTGTGCCATAAAGTTCACATCACATGGGAAAAGTTTTTATTGTCGAGTTATTGAAAAATAGTTTATGCAGATTTACTGCAGCATGCTCAGTTAAAAAAGTGCAAATAATATATATATATATATTTCTTCAACTTTGTCCAATGTTTCGTTACTTAACTCTATTTTTTATATATTGGAAAAGGGTCTTTGTAATGACGGTTGTCCCATGACATACATCAAAATATGTATATTTTTGTTGTTGGATTGCTGAAGTAAAATCCGCATAAACATTTTATTAATAACTCCATAATAAAAAGATTGTATACTTTTTGGCACACCCTGTATATCTATCTTTTAAAAATTATGTAGTGTCAATCAAGTTTTCTTTTTATAATAAACTATATTATACATTGGTTGTTTTTATTAATGTTTTGGATGATAATTTTTAAAACTATAATTAACTGAATTCCCTCAAAGATATAGAGAAAAGTTTCTTAGAGTTAAGTGAAGTTTTGCAATATAAATTTTAAATTTTTGCCTAATATTGTTTTGAATTTTAGGCTTATTATGATAGTATAAATATATATATTTATAGAGCACAGCTAGATATTGCAGCAGTTCCAACATCTTGTTATTAAAATACACTATATCTAATAATTTATGTATATAAAGATTTGTTATATTTTTTATTTAATATTACTGAATACTCTATAAATAGATCTTTGTGGTGATTTCATTCATGTGTTCTTTATTACTGTTCCACGTCAAATAAAAAAATCGTCCTTTGAATTGTTTTGGCTATAAAATTGTACCTCTCGCTTGCTTTAACGCATGTGCACAGTAATTGTTCATATACTCTTTATGTACTTCAAATTGCATAGAATGTTATCTCCTTTTAATAGAATTTGTGAATATTTTGTCTGTATATATTAAATAAAAAAATTCTTTCAGATTATTTGTTTTTTAATACTTAATGAACATTTTTAATTGTTTGTTTTATGATATAAATACAATGTAGTCAAAAAGTGTTATGATCAATACTTTGGATGATATATAGATAAATAAAGCTTGATTTTCTTGCATCCGTTATACGATGGTCCGACGGTGCTCTGATTGGTCATAGCGTTTTCGCGCCACTTTTCATCCATAAATATTTTACTTCAGTCCGTCAACGGACTGAAGTCCGTTGCCGTTCATACGATAATGGACGTTTTGACACTTTTGACAAATTTAATCTAACCTTAATAAAAATATAAGTAAAATAGTAAAATCGGTATGGAAACGAAAATATAAAAAGGCACCAACGTATATCCGATAAACGGAGGCATGAAAATGCAATAGATTTAAAAACTGCGTTATTTTCTAACCAATCAGAGTCTTTAAATTCTATCAATAAAATTAATATCGTATCAACGTATCGTCGGACAACGGATGCATGGAAATCAAGCTTAAAGCCGGAGTCTCATGCATCCGAAATCGGATGACACGACGATCCGACGGTGCTCCTATTGGTAGAAATATTTTGACACCAATTTTTATCCGATAATTTTAACTAATCGTCCGACGTCGTATAAAGTTAAATTTTGTTTAACTTTTGTACGATATCGTGTGTTTTTTAACCTGACTTTTTTTGAAAACATTTATTTTTAAAAACAAGTTTAGGGGGAAGTGGGCAATTTCGGGATATTTGGCGAGGAAGTTATTTTTATGTGTTTTTCCAATAAAACATGACATGAATCTCTATTCAGTACAGCAGAAAAATGTCAAAAGTGTCAAATTTCGGAACGAACTTTCGGATGTATGTGACAGGCCTTTTTTATTTCACAGGATAACTTCAAATTTCGGATGTCGTATCATCGGATTTCGGATGCATGAGACTCCAGCTTAACCCTTTCCTACGGAAAACCACATTAGTTTTTTTAATTGTCAATGTCAAAGCTTCTTTGGTCATATGATATGTTTGGTCATATGCCGGTGCTGCCACCATCGGAAAATATCGTAAACAACTAGTACATATACAGGGTGGCGCACCTCATTCGCCTCGGTTGATTATTCGAAAACAGAAAGATGTAGAAACAAAATAGTTTAAGGATATACGTGGGGAGACAACATACACAATTTAAAATTATTTTGAAATATACAGGGTGTTTCAGAACTAAGATCCATACCAAAGTTATATTTTTTCTTATGGAACACCCGGTATTTTATTTCATTTTTGGATTCTTGTCGTCGGAAGTGAAGAAAATGAATTTGCCATAATTGGCTCTTTTATAGAAAATCCATGTATCTACAAGTCATCGTAAAATAATTCAAATACTACTTCTTTGTTTTTTTGACAGAATAATAAACACATATTTAATAAATATTATTTATTAAACTATTGTAGGTAAATTAAATAAAAATGAACTGGTATAAATTTAAATAAGTCTATAAACATAAACTAATTTCGATTTTGAAAATAGCTACTAACTGTCACTAGAAATATGCCATGACAACACTAGCCATCTTGATTACAATTTTATTGAAAAATCGCTTTTTATTCAAAATCTGAGCCAGATAGGTATAGGAAACCCTAATATAGTTTGAAAGAGCATTTCAATCTGCTTCGACTTATTTAAAAAAATACATAGTGTTGCATTTGAAATAACGAAGTTTTTATGAAAAATAAATATTTAAAATAGACTAGCAATTTTTAATACCCCTGTATACATTTAAGGAAGGAACAACATTTTTCTGTAGAGTTTATATCTCTACCTTTAAACTCAGCACAAGAACTAATTCTGAAAAGTAATGTACAGGGCGTTAATAATCTATTCTATTGTAGCATGCAAATTTAAATATCTTTCAATATCTCAAAAACCAAAGATTTTAAACATATTTAACCCTTATAATAAATACCTTTTTTTGGGCCCAAGAATCAAAAAATGAAATAAAATATGGGGTGTTCCACAAGAAAAAATATAACTTTGGTATGGATCCTAGTTCTGAAACACCCTGTACATTTCAAAATAATTTTAAATTGTGCACATTACGTCCCCACATATACCCATAAGATATTTTGTTTCTACATCTTTCCGTTTTCGTATAATCAATCGAGGCGAATGAGGTGCGCCACCCTGTATACAAATACACGGGTTTAAATAGCGAGTATACGAAATTTTTTTTATATATTATTCTGAAAGCGTTAAGCTTCTTTCAGAACCTCGTAATTACTGGAACGTAGTGGTTTCAATTACACTTTATACTTTTTCGTTTACGATCATTCACAATGTCTGAAAACAATTAATAATTTTTTTAAAGGTAAAAATTTTAGAAGTTGTTCATAAAAAATTTAAGCACTAGTTGATTAAAACAAGTATATCATTAATATTGCAAATTATAGTCTAACCTCTCATAGTATATGCCTATTTAATTTTTTGATTATGAATTGGCACTTTGATTACTCACTTGTTTCGTCGAGCCGTTTTGAATTCCAACAACTACGCAATTACGCTCTCCTTCGTCGGTGAGTGCCTCAAATGTACACAAATGAAAACACACCCAAATGTTTACAAAAGCTTTCAGAGTTTTGCTGAAATTGGTCTTGGTACTCCAAAGGGTCTATTTTTGTTTAAATTATGAAAAAGTTCGGAGTACCCAAAAAATTTCTTACATTGTGTAAAAGCCTCCATAACAATAACAAATCAAGGGTGTCATTATCATGGATCACTGAGCGATCCCTTCCTAACAAACACAGGCGTTAGGCAGGGATGTGTCTTAGCGCCTCTCCTATTCAATATATTCATGGCAGCGCTCTCCATTATAGCAAACTGCAGGAGAGAGGTTTGGGCATTAGATACAGATACGACGGCGGTCTGTTCAACATAAAAAGACTCAGGGCAAAAACACGTACAAAATTCATCACAGAACTTCAATACGCTGATGACTGTGCTCTAGTTGCAAATACGTTACAGCAATTGCAAGAAATGTTGAACACATATACATAGGCATATGAGGCTTTGGGACTTAGGCTGAACATCGATAAAACTAAAATACTAGAACTACTGGAATATGTAGCGGAATTCACTTATCTCGGCAGTTTGATTTCGGAAAAGGCCAATATCGACTCTGAAATTCAACAAGGATTAGCAGCGCCTCAAGAGCATTCTGGAAATTAAAAGACAGGGTTTTCTACAGTCATGACTTAAGCACAAAAACGAAACTTGCAGTGTACCGAGCAATAATAATTCCCACCAAGTTATATGGAAGCGAAACCTGGGTGCCGGACCGCCGACACATGAACGCATTAAACAAGTTGCAACAGAGACATCTTAGGCAAACTCTTAAGAATAAAATGGTTCCATCATGTCTCAAATGTATCGGTCCTTGAAAAATCTTACTGCGAGAGTATTGAAGTCAAGATTACAAAGTTCCGCTTAAGATGGGCTGGTCACGTATGCAGAATGCAAGAAAACCGCATACCAAAATCTCTGCTTTACGGTGAGCTTGTAGACGGTAAAAGGAGGCCGGGTAGACAACTCAAAAGGTACAAGGATATTTTCCACGAAAATTTATAGGGTATTAACAAGCAGAATGAGTGGGAAGAGGCAGCTCACAATAGAACGGAATGGAGAAAAATTGTGAAGTCAGTTAACAGCGACAACCAAAAAGTAAAGGGGCAACAAAGCAATGAGATTTTTGAACGTCTGGAGTGCGGTAGACAGATAACATCACGTATCGGGCTTTTCAGTCACAGAAAAGCTCATGAAGGAAAACGCATTGCGTGACCATCTGCTGATGTGTGTCAAATACTCGTCAGCGTGTAATGGCAGTATGTAGTATATGTACAGTAAGTCTGCTGGATCTGTGTCTATGAAAGGAATGCGGACAAAAAACATTTAAATAAACAACAATATATTTTATTCGTCGACTTGACGAGTACGTCACCGCAAATCGCTCCGCCCACTCATTTTATTGGCTACTTGCAAATCTGTCGAATTTTTATTGATGGGACGCGTCGTCTATTTTTTTACGAAAAACATCGAGAGAATATCTTTTCCCCTCTCACGGATACCCCGTAGCTACAGAATGGACAGACGTACTGTATGTATGTTTTGTTTAAATATGTCAAGTGTTTTCGGCGGAGAGAGGGTGGAGAAACATTTGCGCACTTTTTGACACCGGATCATTTGTTTTTGTTTTTAAAATTTATATAGAAAAATAATATTGAGCTGGGAAAGGAGTGCTCTTTGGCATTATGGTGGATATGTATATAAATCAAAACCAGAACTGTGTGAGCTTAAATGTGGATTATATCACAGTAAATACTTTCTCAAATATTTTCTTTAAATAATCTACAGCTATTTGTTCTTATACCTAGCAAAGGTTTAAAGAAGCTTTCGTTTAAAAAATACCCCCTTATAAATTAAAAAAATAATTGCCGTCTAGCTTTTGTGATAAAGTGGCATTTAATAAAAAAGAAAAATAGAAAAAGATACATGGAATGCGAGCGTCTATTTTTTTTAAAGCGAAAGCTTTTTTAAACCTTTGTGAGCTGCAAAGAAAGAATAATGCTTTTTCTAGAAATCAATTTTCTTTCTTTACACGATACATACGGCGGGACTCTGCAAGGATTTACAAACGTTAGGAATCCCGGTTTGCAATGTCTCTTTGATGTGTACGCGCCTTTAGTGTATGTTTGGTGTATGCGCGTCATCATTATAATTGACAACTTGCCCGCCACTTCAAATATTTGTAAATTTAAAAATGTTACCTAATTTTGTTTAAAATCAAATTTAATGAAATCTTAAAGAGAAATTTATTATTATTTCAAAGAACCTTTATTATTTTACTGCGTCAAATTCATAGCAGCATCAGGCAACATAAACATAACTGTCATAAAAAAGTCCAAGTCATCATTAAAATACTCATCATAAAGAAGCATTTAAAATGACTGCTAGTGCTTCTGCGAGGCCCATAGTAAAGGAAGAGGTAATTTAATATAAGAGACATAATAAAAATTATATCAAAATATTTTTTTAGTACGAAGAAGATAAAGAAATGCAAAACGAACTAAAACTTCTAGTGGACAAAATTACTGTAAGCTTTATATCCCGGTTCTATTTTACATATAAAGATAAAAACTTATTCTAGGGAACTGATGTTAAACTTATACCCTCGGCTTTAGAAATGTTGAAATATTTGATAAGAACATCTACAACTTCAATGACGTCTGTACCAAAGCCACTAAAGTATTTGGCACCCAGTTATAATCTTCTCAAAGAGAGTCACAAAAATATGGCAAAGGGTAATATAAAAAATAGTTTAGCTGATGTTATCTCGGTACTTGCAATGGGTACGGGAGGTGGAGAAGAAGCCAGAAGAAATAAGGAGTGCTTAAAATATTGTCTTTTAGGTGAGTGGATTCTATTAATTTATAAAATATATTTCTGAATGAGTCAAAGAAATGAGTGAATGAGTTGATTTCAATATTTGTTTTGGATACTGTCGCATCTAGCCTATGTGATTTTTTAAATTATTCAGTGTATTAAAATTTATTACCTATTAATATTAAGTAAGATATTAATCGAGAAAAAGCAAAACTGCAAAACTTTCAACTATGTATTTGCTAAGATAACTTGTCGAGATAGAGAATAAAATATATAAAAAATATTTAAAAAATACGTTTCTTTTGATTACGACAAAAAATATGATAAAGTTGTCAAAAAATAGTTTTGTAGGCATCATATTTGCCAAATTTTCTGACATTCTAAGTAGCTGCTAAGCTCGTATAGGTTTATCATATAGAGAAATGAATATGCTGATAAAAGTCCTTTAAATAAACCAATTTTCCTATTAACAATTTCAATTTATTTTTGTAAAAAAATCGAATTTGGGTATTATTATACTCTAGTCTGGTTTGTCATGGTTAGTAGTGGCCTATTAGTGTGAGGAAGTCCAATATATCGTCGTTGTTTTCGAAGATATGAAAATAGTTTAAATACAAATGTTGCATGTTTTATAATGATCCATATACTAAAAATATTTTGTTGTATACAGGGTGTCACAAAAAAAAAGTTATGAAAAAATTTTAGGTTTTTTAATTTACACTCCCAATTTTTCTATAAAGAATTGGATTCAGCATAAAATTCTGCACATTGTACACTATTTCACTTTGAAGCAATTAAGGTTGATTCTCACTATACCTTCCATATCAGCTCCCTTCCGTTTCCCGTCCGTTTACATAAAATATTATATCATGTAAATGAATAGGACAATACACACTATCCGTTCCGTTTCTCTTCCGTTTCATATCCTTTTCTTCCATACATTTTTTTGGCGGATGGACTGAAGCGTATCGGAAACAGCGTTGTCAAGTTCTTACATTTATTTGTACCAGCTCTGTTAAAATTTTGATGATTATTATTTATTCTTTCACCTCTTAATTAAATCTATTACCTTTTTCAGAAGATACAAGTTTTTAAAATAAAACTTTCATAATGATATAAATTGTACAGTAAAAAGTATGGAACTGATACGAAACGAAAGCTTATGTATAGCGTCAATACAATAAAAAATACGGAACGGATATGGAATGGAAACGGAAGGTATAGTGAGAATCAACCTATATACGGTACTGCCATTCTATTTCATATTTACTAAAAATTTGGCTAAAAGCACTATTTCCGAAAAGTGGTTAAAAATTGGAGTGAATATAACTTTATTAATACTTAGCATTAATTTCCTAAGCACTAAGGATAACAGAATAAATCCAAGATGAAAAATTTACATTGTCCTATACAGTGTGTTTTTTGGAGACCAAACCAAAATCGGAATATTTAAATGCTATATCTCTATTTTTTTTAAATGCAGCTATGTATATCATTATCAAGCTCCCTGTATATCATTTTTCATTTAGATAATAACAAGCAGACTTAAATAATGAACATTTTTGTATTTACAGTGTCCCCAAATTTTTAGTGGTTTTGCATATATTTGATGGAACTGTATTATATTACATATGGGCACAAACCTTTGAATAAGAAGACTAAGGAAGGAGCATATCAAAAATCTTAGGTACACCGCGATGGGCCTCAAATATGGCCGACTTAAATTCCGGTTTATCAGTGTCGTTCTAATTTTATTTAAAAAATGTAAAACTATGATGTAGGGTAGACGTGGGGTAGACTCAATAATTTGTTGTTTTATTGCCAGAATAGTTATTAAAATTGTTATAAAATATATAATTTAATAAAAATATGTTATAATTAAAGACACACAAACATCCGACATGCTACTAGCAGGTAAGCCAAATCCTTTAATTAACGTATCAACTTTATATCTAATCTTGAGCTGCGACAAAGAAGCCAAATGCAGAAAAATATATAATTTTGACACTCAAGAATTTATAACATTAATGCCTAAGGTATATTATAGCCACTATTCAGTGAAAAGTTGTTCCATTTGTCATCAATTTTTTGCCGAGGATCTACCGCATGCTATCAACCAACTATTTTAGAGTCTTTTTCGATAAATCAGATAGTAACACTGTTAATTTAAGTTCTGCCACAATTTCCATCTAGATTTACTACCTTTATACAACTATCAGTAGTAGAATAAATAATAAATAACATAAAATAAGCTCCGTGAAGACTGACAAATCCACAAAATTTCAAATCAAATTCAAATGTGTCAAATGAATCGTCAAACAGAACTGTCAAGGATCCCCACCCTAGAGAGCTTTTATGGTGCCTTTTCCGCCCACCATGCATGAATACATGGATAGCATTATGCTCCTTCCTTAGTCTTCTTAATCAAAGGCACAAACTAAATTAGTGTTTAGGTTAGTCTGTGATATGGGGTTTTCAACAAATACCAGACAAAGATCATATTAGGTGGCTTTGATAAAAAATTACTGTTGGAATAAGCGCCATATGTAATATAATACCGCGAATATCTTCGAAACCGTTAATTAGTAATTTAATAATTTAGGAACACTTTAAATACCAAAAATGTTCAATTTTTAATTCTGCATCTTAAAGAAAAATAATATACAGGATATCCAAAAAAATCCTATAGGTATGGGTTTTTCGCCACTGCAAGAAAATCTACAAAATAAAATAGTTATTTTATGTAAACACTTCTGCGTTAATCCCAAACGGAAACTACTTGTCAGAAATTAGGTTTAAAGATATACAAATTTGCCTAACTAACAAAAAAATGCTTAACGTTTCGGAAAGTTTATCTCCTTCCGTCGTCGGAAGCAAAAAAAATACAAAGAATAGAGAAAAATAAACTACTTAAAATATTGAAAATGATTGAAAATTTAAAAAATGAGATATAGCAATTTATATATTGCGATGTGGACGAGACCATAAAAATTACCCTGATTAGATAATTACAGTTGGGGGTTGGAACCTTTGGTGTTACACAGCAAAATAAAATACTAAATCACCACAATACACCAAAACACTTTTACTAGTCAGTCTTAATCATGGTTAACATACAACAGTAAAAGTAAAAGTGTTTTGGTGTATTGTGGTGATTTAGTGTTTTATTTTGCTGATGAGATATTGTAAATTTTTCTTCGCGGGTTTATTCTGTTACCCTTGTTGTTTAGGAAAGTATAATTAAGTATTAAAAAAATTAAATTCCCTGCAGTTTTTAACCACTTTTCAGATATAGTGTTTTTAACCAAAGTTTTAGTAAATGAGAAATAGAATGGCGACACGACATAGTGCTTCAATAGTCTACTAGATGCAGAATTTTATGCTGAATCCAAATATCTACAGAAAAATTGGGGGTGCAGTCTAAAAAAAAACTTAAAACTTTATCATAACTTTTTTGTGACCTCCCGTATACAACAAAGTATTTTTAGGATATGCTCATTTATAAACCATTCAACATCTGTATAAAACGTTTTTTCATATCTTCGACAACGACGACGATATTGGATTACCTCGCACTAATGAGCCACCCTGTATGCAAAACTATTATACAGGGCGAAGCTTAAATAAGTGTAAATATTTTCAATGTAGATCTTGACAAAAACAAATATATTTCCTTGTGGTTTTTCGCCTAAATTATGAGGACCGCTAGATTTTTTCTGTTTTTTTTTCCTCCCTATGAATTTAATCTACTACCTCTATTGCCAAATTATCAAGATAATATTTTATTTTTTAACTGAAAATTAAAAAAAATTCCATTTTTTTGAAACAATATACAGTGTGTCTCCGGATTATCTTTACAAGAGGAAAAACTTTTATATTATTGACATTTTGAGAAAAATGGATTCTTCATAAAAAATTTGGCTTGTTTTTTAAATCGTTAATCCCGTTTATATCTTTCCAAATTTTTATACCGTTTTAGAGAAATTTGAAAAAAAACATGAAATCATGGTTGAATTTATTTTAGGTAGTATATTTCGACCCCAAAAACACGATTATGAGGTTTTTTTTCAAAAAAAAAAATAGAAAATATGGATTTAAAAAAAAAATTGGGAATTTTTTTTTGTTAAAAAGCTTAATTTTTTGATAATACGACAACATCGGTGGTAGATTAAATTTACAAGAAGGATAATCCAGAAAAGATCCAGTGGTTCTCAAAATTTTAACAATTTTTTTAAAAATTATAACTCGGTTATTGTCGATTTATTTAAAAAAAAACGGTAAAGAGAAAATATGTTTATTTTATCGAGATTTATCAGCCCTGAAAATATTTGCACTTACTAAATTTAAGACTTTATACCGTATAATTGAAGTTAAATTCAGAAACCAATTTTTTATACGTTTAATAAAAAATAGTTTAATAAAGAATTGCCACTAATATACGATTATTTATTTCATTATTGATTATAATTAATTGAAAGAGCTTAAAATATTTTCTTATTTGTGTTTAGTAGTAAATACTTCTTTGTTCTTTTCTATTTCTAAAATGCATTAAATATTAATTCAATAAACATTTACAACTTCTATTTTTATAAAGGTACTATGAAGGACATCGGCGACTGGGGCCATGAATATATTCGACAATTGGAATCTGAAATAGTACAGCAGTGGTCTGAAAATGATTGCGAAGTTAGCGAAAACATGTTGATGCCTCTTATCCACGACATAATTCAGTTTAATTGCACTCATCACGCCGAAATTCAAGCTTGCGATTTATTGATGGAAATAGACAATTTACAATGGTTGGGGAATTATATTGCTTCCAATACTTATCAAAGAATGTGCTACTATTTAATCTCGTGCTCGAAATATGTCGACGATACCGAAAGATCCAAAATAATGCAATTAGCCTTTGACCAGTATATTAAATTTGGGGAGTACTCCAAATCTCTTATAATAGCTCTACAAATGAACAATGACGAACTTGTAAACCAAGTATTTAAAAAATGCCGAGACAAGTAGCTAAGCTCTATATCTAACCATTCAATATAAGGATCAATTTATTTTTTATTTTTAGGCTTATTTTATACCAGTTAGCTTTTATATGCGCTAGGCATTTATATCCTTTAGAATTCGATCAGAAAATACCTGAATGTGAGGAAATAAATAATATTGCCAGTAATAGTCACTTAAACGCATACTTCTTGTCTTTGGCAAGAGAGGTAGATATTCTTTCTTATTTTTGATTTCAATAAAACTATGTACACTCAAATGCAAAAAAACGCAACCGGGAAATTTTTGATCAAATTTAAAGTGTTATATATTTTTGTTATTTTTAGCCCTATTTTCATGAATTTTTTAGCAAGCTATATATAATTATATCAACTTTAATTTGTAAATTCAGTTTTTTACAAACTTAAGTATTTGGCACAGGTTGTGTCAAATTTAAGGTAAAAAAAACAACCCCTCGATTAACCCGAATAATAATTCGGGGTTAATCGAGGGGTTGTTTTTTTTACCTTAAATTTGACACAACCTGTGCAATAATTTCGTGTGTAAATTTTCCTGAAATATAATTTTAGAGTCAGAACCATGTCTCCTGAGCATTTTCTTTTTTGGATCATGTCAATACATGCCTTTGTTAATTTTTAACAGCGAAATGAACTTGCCACCAATAATTTGCAATTTTTTCAATTATAATGTTTTTTTTCAATATGACAAGGCAGCTTTGGTGATATTGTGAACTATATACTACTATGTTCGACGTTTGGAAAATGCTTAGCAGGAGATCGCGAAGCTGTTACCAGCTTAATTGAATGAACTTCGCTTGGTCCTTAAAGAAGAATGGGAAAACATAACGCAATATGATATATGCAGCCTCAATGACAGTATGAACAAACGTATACAGGCAGTTATAGCAGCCAGGAGAGGCAATACAAAGTATTAGGGTATTTTTTATTTTTTTTTGTTTGTATACTTCAGTATTACAGTATTACAGATGTTTTCCTTATTATCGTTAGTTCTGTTATCGATATTAATATTTATTAAAACCAGGACTATATCGTTGGTCTTTAACGTTTTTTTTTTAATTTAGTACAGAGGTATGCGTAATATGATGCAGCCTTATATGACGTGACGACAATAGTCAACAAAACCATCTCGTTTTTTTAAAAAATTACATCAAAAGTAATGATAACTGAAAAAATTGCAAATTAATCGTGGTCAGTTCATTTCGCTCTTAAACATTAGCCAAAGCATGCATTGACGTGATCCGAAAAACAAAATGTTCAGGAGACATGGTTCTTACCGTAAAATTATATTTTAGGAAAATTTACACACGAAATTATTGCACAGTGTGTTTTCAATGTTTTCAAGTTAGGATAAAAAAACAACCCCTTGATTAATCCTGATCTATAATATGTCAATTTCCAAAAGTTTCCAAAAAACGTTTTGTTGACGTGAGTTTACGATTTAAAGTTCAGATAATTATACACAGTTTGCTAAAAAGTTCATGCAAATAGGGCTAAAAATAACAAAAATATAACACTTTAAATTTGACGAAAAATTTCGCTGTTGTGTTTTTTTGCATCTGAGTGTATTTTTTAGTTAGATATCATGGAACCAAAATTACCAGAAGATGTGTACAAAACTTGGCTAGAACCTTTGCCACCAAGATTGCAAATATTGGGCGAAAATATGGATAGCGCCAGGCAAAATTTGGCATCATCCTTTGTAAACGGTTTCGTTAACGCTGCTTTTGGGACCGATAAGCTTCTATCAAATGATTCTGGTAACAAATGGATTTATAGAAATAAAGGTGATTGGATTTTCACACTTTTTGTTTGTATGAGATTTAGAGTTGGTATTTAGAGTGGGTATTTTCGGGTATTTTATAAAGTATTTTGTAATCACCCATTTAGAGGAAAGCTTAACTTTAAAAAAATTTACCACCAGCGTTGCATGTACAATCAAAGATGTATTATTTTCTTTAAAATATCCACGTAGCTCCATTACACTCAGTGGCGGACTAAAGCTTGATTTTCGTGCTCCGTTGTCCGACGATACGTTGATACGATATTAAGTTCATTGGTTGTATTTAAAGGCTTCGATTGGTTAACCGTTACTAACCAACCGAAGTCTTTAAATTCTACCAATAAAATTAATATCGTATCAACGTATCGTCGGACAACGGATGCATGAAAATAAAGCTTAAGCCTGTCGTGGGCCCGGGGCGGCAAAGCCAAATGGTTTGCACAAAGCCCCGGTCTGCACATTTTGTAAAGATTGAATGACGTATGTATAATGGTTGACAAATTTCAAGTATTTATATACAGGGTTTATATACTATATATATACAGGGTGTCACAGAAATAAGTGCAAGTATTTTAAGGCGTGGTAGATCTCGATAAAAGAAACATATTTTTTCTTTATCGTTTTTCAAATTACTTCAAAAATGTCAAAAAAAAAATATTTTTCCTAAAATTTTGAGAACCACTGGATCTTTTCTGGATTTTCTTTCTTATAAATTTATAATCTAATACCTATGTTGTCATATTAACAAGAAATTATGTTTTTTAACTAAAAACTAAAAAAATTCCCAAAAAATTTTTCAAAAAATTTCGAGTTTTCAATTTTTTTTTCGCGAAAAAAAACTCATAGGCATGTTTCTGGGGTAGAACTATACTACCAGTTAAAATACTTGCACTTATTTCTGGGACACCCTCTATATTACAGTCAGTGTGTCCCCGGATTGTCTTTACAAGAGGAAAAACTTTTTTATTATTGACTTTTTGAAAAAAAATGCGTTCTTCATAAGAATTTTTGCTTGTTGTCAAATGGCTTTATAATTTTCTAAATATCCATACCGTTTAGAAAAAAAATAAAAAAAAAACATAAAAATGTAGTTTTTAACTAATTTTACCCCAAAAAAAATCCTAAGAAAACTAAAAGTTAATTACATTCTGTAGATATAAATATGTTATTCATCGGCAGTGCCGTTTTTACGTAGGGACCCGACGGGCCCCGAACAGAGGATTAAGGGCCCCAGCTCCAAAAAGGCCTCAAAAACGATAACATTAATTTTTTTAAAGCTTATAATAATACTTTTAAATTGAAAAACGAATGCAATTTGATGTAATAAAACAATCCCCGAGCGAATGTTCGTATATATTTAATGGTAATTTATGATGACAAAGTAATGGGAATACCGGTTCCACATATAAGCCGCGTTACTTTCGCGACCGCTCTAGGTAAATACCGCGATTTTGTAAGGGACCCTTTACAAAATCGCGGTATATTTAGGTCCAAGAATAAATAATAATTATTCGAATATAAAAAATAATAATTATTCGATATTCTAAACAAAGAAAATTACCCCTTGATTTAATTTCGTAAATAGAAAAATGCCATTGACAAATACTGGGGCCTAATAATTGATAATTAAGTAAATATCTGCTTCCATTTATACTGTGTATAGTTTGCGTATACTTATAGTTTGCATACTCTAACTACAAATTGCTTTATAACTACTGAACACATATTGGCCTTATTTGCCAGTTGAACAAAAAATTACTTATTAAGATTTGGAGGCCCCCTAGAAGAAGGGGCCCGGGGCGGACCGCCCCGTCCGCCCCCCTTCTTAGTCCGCCACTGATTACACTACCGTTAGATTTTATATTTGAACCAAAAGTTGAAGTTATGGGAATGCCATTTACATTTGTGGTGTTTTAAATTCAGACGATTCAGTATCAGTGATAACAGATAGTAAAATAACAACCCCATCTCTAACTTGAACTAATATTACTTATTACCTTTCTGGTTGGAACTTGTTGTTTTAGTTGAAGTTTACATACCTGTATTTAAGTTTATAGTTTCCAATTTTTTTATTAACAATTATTACTTCATAATTTTCCAGGGTGTGATAAACCTTTGTGTGAATTTACTTAATCTTCTAAGAAAAATGTAGTAAGTAGACAATTTGGCCACTACTAAGTATCATGTTTACTTGTAGTTCTTTTAAAAGCAAGTTAATGTCGATTGGGCATATGATTTGTTTATGTAACGATCCTTTCACATGTTTAGTTTGATTGATTTTCTTAAGATTTGTATACCATGCTCTACCCATCCTGGCTTTATTTTGTTATTTTATTTGAAGAAAGGCGAAAAATTCTTTAGAAATTTATGAAGCGATTGAAGAGGTATTCTTCTACTTATTAAGCGTTATAATGGCAAATTAATGTTGATTGGTCATGCGATACGTTCATTTAACTGTCTCGTTTTTCACATGTTTAATTTTGATGAATTGATTCTCTTGAGATTTGTTTACTATACACCCATTTTGATTTCATTCTATTGTTGAAGAAAGTGAATTATATTTCAGAAAATTATGAAATGATTGAAGAGGTACCTGCTTTAGAAAGCGATATACCATCTCTTTTTCCACATGTTCACTTATTTTGTTTTTCCTGACATTTTTTAACATGTAATTTAATGCCCCATCTTGACTTAATTTTTTTCATATTATTGAAGAAAAGTGAATCATACTTTAGAAAATTATGAAGTGATTAAAGAGGTATCTACTTTAATAAGTGTTATGAAGACAAATTAACATCGAATTTGCATGTGATTTATTTCATGTAACGATCTTCTCATTTACATGTTCAGTCTTGTTGTGTCTCTTGGTATTTATACAGGGTGAGTCTTAAATAAGTGCAAATATTTTCAGAGCTGGTAGATCTCGATAAAAGAAACATATTTTCTCTTCACCATTTTTCAGATAAGTCCAAAATAACCGAGTTATTTAAATTTGAGAATTTTAAAAAAATTGATTTTTTTTAGAACATTTTGAGAGCCACCGGATTTTTTCTGTATTTGCATCCCTTTTAGTGCCGTAACTATAGAGTAAAGCCGTAACTATGGTAATATCAGAGAAGGATTAAGAAATTATACCGAGGGGAAATTTTCGGTGAACAGGCAGTTCCAAAAAGTTTTCGAAAAATATACAGGGAAATTTAAAAGAAAATGCACGATTTTCAGCATCTTTTTTTGCGAAAAAATCCTGAGGTCGAAATATACCACCCCTGAAAATATTTGCGCTTATTTAAGACTCACCCTGTATAACATATAAATTTATGCACTCATCCTGACTTCATCTTGTTTTTATTATTAAAGGTAAATTACAGTTTATTTCTTTTTTATATTTTTTTAGAAAATTATGAAGTATTTAAAGAACTACTAAGCTACCTACTTTAGTAAACGTTATGAAGGTAAATTATTGTTTATTAGTCTTGTGATTGGTTTGTTTAACCATCTCTCCTTTCACAAGTTTTGTCTTGATTGATTCTCTTGACATGTGTATAACATGTTAAGTAATCCCATCTTGACTTCATCTTGTTTTTTATTGAAGAAAGGTTAATCACACTTTAGAAAATTATGAAATAATGAAAGAGAGGTACCTACTTCAGTAAACGGTTATGAAGGCAAATTAATGTCGATTGGGCATGTGATTCGTTCGTTTAACAATCTCTTCCTTTACATGTTCAATTTTATATTCAGTGTGTCTCTTGACATTTGTACAACATGTGATGTAATCCCATGATGACTTCATCTTGTTTTTATTACTAAAGAAAGGCGAATAATATTTTAAAAAAATATGAAGTAACTAAAGGGTACTTACTTTAGTAAACGGTTATGAAGACAAATTAATGTTGATTGGGCATGTGTTTCACTCATTTAACAATTTGTTCTTTTACATGTTCAATCTCTTGACACTTGTATAACATGTGAAGTAATCCCATTCTGACTTCATCTGTTTTTATTATTAAAGAAAGGTTAATAATTATACACACAAACCATGATACAAAGAATACAAGGTATGATATTGCGCAGGTTGGTCATTACGTCACAGGTGATAACCGGCACCATTGGTCGGCAAACTTCGCGCGCCAATTTCAAATTGTCAAACAGATGACACAAAAAAGGTGAAAATAATTTTTCAAATGTCAAGCTCGATGATTTGATATAACTTTTGGGGTTATGTCCTAATTCTTCCCTATTTTAGGTCTTTTTTTATTATTGGCAATTGAACAATATGGATATTTTTTTGTATGGCGTATGACGTCACAGGTGGTATGCGCAAACTTAACGAAATTGGAACCGCTATCGATCATACCTTGTTTTCTTTGTATCATGCACACAAACTATACAGATTATAAACTTTGTTTTTTCTTTATTGTTTTTCGTGTTTCCAATTTTCGGAATCGGGGACTATTTAGGTTACTAGTTTGCGCATATATGGCCTCTAAAATTGTGCACAGCGCCTGACCGGTACAGTTGGCCGGTACAGTGACCGGCGTCATGCAGTATTGTCTCTGGCAGTATTTACGCGTACCTTATCATGGTTACGATATGCGCGAGTCAATTTTTAACGCAACACCCGCTAATAACGTTACCGCCTGACATAATTTGTGGATCAATTACACCAAGCGCTATTTCTAAATAACGTTCAAAAATTGCTTACATGGGCATGTGCGGGTATTTGACAACCGGGGCCGGCCGGCGAGATCTTTTTAGGTTATGTTTGAATTGTTTTGAATTATTACTTTAGTTTTATTAGGTAATTTGATATTTAAGTAGCTGGGATTAGTTTTAATTAAATAAATCCAAAATATGGATTCCACCTCTTCCAATATTAAAGAGCCTATAAAGAGGCTTAGGTTTACAGCAGATGACGACTTAGCCCTTCTAAGAGAATTTGTTGCTTGTTGTCCTAAACCCACTGGCAGACATTGAACAATAAAGCACTGGAAATAAGCACTTTAGCCCTTTAATTTTAAAATACCTAGTAAACAAAACAATTTCAAAGTTTTAAATTCAAAGTTAGGTTAATTTTAAATGGCGGACGCGACGAGAACAGAATTCTTTCCGATCCGATAACTATAAATGAAGAGAGTTAATACCACCTCACGTAAAGGAAATATGTTTATTGTTATTTTACGCGAGTTTATTTTTGCGCACAGGAAATTTTACTCGTTTGCACATCGTCATAAAAAACAATTTTCGTACCACGAATTAGGGATAAGATTTTTATCTGTATACATATAGTATACCTAATCTGTGATAATACTTTAGAAAATTATGAAGTAATTATAGAGAGGTACTTACTTTAGTAAATGGTTATGAAGGCAAATTAATGTTGATGATGTATGGAATTCGTTTAACAATCTCTCCTTTTACATGTCCTTCTTCTTCTTACAGTACCATACTCGATATAGAGCGTCGGCTACCTCTCGCATGTACTTGTGATGTGTGTCATCAGTGTTTCACAAGTACACGGGACCTACAGTTTATTGCCGAATCCGAACGGCATATTTGAGAGGCTGTACAAGGCAAATATACTCCTATTACATGTCCTATCCTAACTTTATCTTGTTTTTATTATTAAAAAAAGGTTAATCATACTTTAGAAAATTAGGAAGTGATTAAAGGGGTTAAGTGATTAAACTATATAGTTAACGTTATGAAGGCCAATTAATGTCGATTGGGGATACGATTCGTTTGTTTAACTATTTCTCCTTTCACATGTTCAGTCTTGTTAATTCTCTGACTATTTCTTCTTTATATAGCATATAAACTTAATGTACCTATCCTGACATCGTCTTGTTGTTATTGTTTTAGCAACATTAGAAACAGTGAACTCCTCTCTAGTTTTTTTAATTTTTTAATACCCTATTTAAGATAAAATTATTGCTACTAACTAAACGGCCAGAATCATGTTTGCTATTCTATTTTATTGTTGTGGATATGTTTATGAGTTGGATAAAGCAAAAAAGGAAGTATCCTATCAAGAGTAAAAATATTATATCTATAATCACATTTATACACGAAATTATAATTTTGTGTATATACAAGGTGAGTCTTAAATAGTGATGGGAAAAACCGATTAATTTCAATAATCGAGTACTCGAGTATCAAGCGATTGCAATAACCGAGTGATCACTCGAGCGGTAATCACTCGTATTTAAAAATACGGTTTTCACCCGTCGCATGTTGTAAGCAGTACTCGTTAACGCCAAGCGCCAAGCAGTAAGTTGCGTGCGCAGGTGCGGGGCATATTCTTTCGGTAATGAACGGCAAGTGGTAAGCAGCGAGCGATTCGCTTGATCGCTTAATTTAGTTTATTTCGAAGCATTGTCGATGTAGGTCGTAAAATTTTGTTCCTCAGATACGCAACGGATAAATATACCGGATGCGTCTCAAAAGTGGCTCATCCTTATAACTTTTTTATTTTTTCAGATGAAACGAGATTTGGTATGTTAGTATATGACATAAATTAGGATTGATTGACATATTTAATTGTTTTCAGTCACTTCCGGTTTCACCGGAAATTACTACAACTTATGATTTTTAAATGGCACCCTCGGTATTTTTTTACTTTATTCGGTAGAAAATGAGACTCTGAATAGAATGACATATCACATGTCAACTTTTGACATTTTCGCATATGGTTTATTTGAAATTGTAACATGCGGTTCATAACGACAATTTGACTCGAAGTACCAAGTGTGTGGTATCAAATTATTCGTAAAAAAATTCTTTTTCGAAATATGCTAATGAGCCACCCTCGTTCCATTTGAAAAAAATTGAGATATGATCAAAAATACGATTTGGGCATCATTTAACCGGCCAGGACAAGACACTAAAAACATGAGACGATTAGACGATCAAATCTATTTTTCCAAAGCTCCTTGATTAAAAATTAGTGTTTTTAACACAGACATGGCTAGGGTTTCATCGAGACGAGAAATCTCGTCTCGAAGGCAATTTCTCGTCTCGTCTCGATCATCGAGACGAGATATTAACAAACTCTCGTCTCGATGTTTTTCTCGAAGTCAAATCGATTCGAGATTCTCGAAATTTCGAGTCTCGAAAATAAATAACTGATTTATTATTATTAAAAAATTGGCGCCGGGAGGCACGTATAGCCGCCCATACTAAAATATGTTAATAAAAAGTTGGTAGGCAGTTCTTTTAGTTTCAAAGTAAAGGAATTTTTTAAATTTTTTTTATCTCAAAAACTGCGACTTTGACTGATTTTGATGTTATTACAAATTTTGTTGCAAATATTATTCCGAATCTTAAATTGAAAACCGCGTTTTGCTAGGTACTGTAATTTTGGAGTTACGGTTTTTTAAAATTTTTAACCCCCTCCCATACCTCCTTACCAACACCCCACCCCCACCAAAAACTAATGGACAGATTCTCGGGTGCCACAGTATTTTTGTGCCAAATTTGGTTAAAATCGGTTTAGCGTTTTTTGAGTTATCGTGTTACAGACGGACAGACAGACACCATTACAGACGGACAGACAGACAACAGAAATATTTTGTATTTAGGTCATTTATGACCCAAATAACTCACTTTGAGTGGATTTAAAAAAAAACTTTTTTTTTGTCGATCTTAATAGCCTACCTATGGTCGGCTAAAAATATCATGTTATGAAGTGTGCACCAAAAGATAGGGTAAATTTTTTCTGTTAAAAAATTACGTTATAGAATATAGAGGTATGGTATGGATTAAAAGGTATTATAGGTATGGTATGGATTAAAAGCCATGTGTAACAAAAAAAACTTTTTTTTTTGCCGATATTAATAGCCTACCATACCTGTCGGTATGGTCGGCTAAAAAACGCAGACTTTGGCCTAAAATCCCAAAAATAAAAATATATTGTTTTAAAAAGCGAAAATCAAAACGATTCCTTAATTTTTTAATTTAGTCTTTTATCCATATGGGTTTAAAATTTACCTAGCTACCTACGTAAGTTTAAAATTTTTACTTCGTTGTGCAACAAACTGATTTTTGTTTACTCGAACAGTTTTTTATTGAAAAACTTTTTTTCTTCGAAATTACTTAAATTCGTTTAACTCAATAGGAGTTAATAGTGAAATTTATACAAAAATGGTGCCATAAGAACAAGAATATATTATATTTACGGCATTTCTTTATTCTGAAAAGACCGACTGATCGAACAGTTTTGGGGAAGTTATCTTTTGATTATTTGTAATAATTGTAAATAAAGAAATGTAAATTAACATTGTACGAGAAAATATTTCCCAATATAGTTTTTATTTCCATGTTTCTAGCCTTTTATGAGCTGTTGAGTTACTGCAGCATCTAAAGTTTTTCGAGATCGAGAAATCTCGAAAAATCTCGAAGTCATTTACTCGATCTCGTCTCGAAAAAAAATTCTCAGTCTCGTCTCAATCTCGTCTCGAAATCGAGACGAGACGAGACGAGACGAGACGAGACGAGACGAGAAATCTCGAATTTTGAGAATCTCGTGAAACCCTAGACATGGCACTTTAGATTGAGATTTAAAATACAATTTGCTTTTGAGCGAATATGTCAAAAGTTGACATATGATACGTCATTCTATTTAGAGTGTCATTTTCTATCGAATAAAGTAAGAAAATACCGAGGGTGCCATTTAAAAATCAAAAATTGTAGTCATTTCCGGTGAAACAGCAAGTGACAGAAAACAATTGAATACGTCAATCAATCCTAATTTATGTCATATACTAACATACCAAATCTCATTTTTTTATCTAAAAAAATAAACAAATTAATAGGGGTGAGCCACTTTTGAGACGCACCCGGTATATATGGCGTCGTATAAATTTGCTACCTGCAATGTATGTAGAAAAATCGCTGGGCTTTTTATCGAGTATGTCACATTAAAATCGGATTTCAATTTATTTCATTCTAGGATCGCTTGCGTTCGTCTCTTGGTACTCGTCACTTGCATCGCTCGTTCATAATCGAGCGATGTCGGTTATTTCAATAATCGAGTACACGAGCAAATTTTCGCTCGAGTTATCCCATCACTAGTCTTAAATAAGTGCAAATATTTTTAGCGGTGGTATATTTCGACACAACACGTCGATGATTTTTTTTCCAAAAAAGATGTTTGGTTTGGTCGGTAAAATCGTCCATTTTGTGGTAAATTTTCCTATATATTTTAGAAAACTTTTGAGAACTGCTATTCACCGAAAATTTTTCCACGGTATAATATAATTTCTTAATCTCCGATATTACCATGGTTAAGGCTCTAAAGGGGATGCACATAAATCAAAGCAATGGGGATGCAAATACAGCAATAATCCGGTAGGTAGCTCTCAAAATTTATTACATATAAATATATATATTTTTTAATTGTCAAGCTTAACTCGGTTATTTTGGACTTGTTTGAAAAAAGATAAGAAGAAGATATGTTTCTATATAATCTACCAGACCAGACCTGAAAATATTTGCACTTATTTAAGACTCACCTTGTATAATTACAAAATATATAAATTATAAGAAATACTTTTTAGATATATTTACTTGAACCGGAAAGCGATTTATGTTACGAAACATATCTATCAAAAATGTGACAAAACTGTGTCTCAATGTTTCTCAGCAGAGATTTTGTTTCGATTTTGTGTCTAAAAATGCTACTTGGGTCGTCTGTTGAAATCGTCCTTCATCTTAAAAGTTTTACAGAAGTAAAATGTTAGTGTTGAATTATTGTTTATTAAATTGTCGTCAGTGTAGCTTTATATTATAACTCCACCTCGAACTCCACCCTCTATTGGCTAATTTTCTTTAAATTTCTCACATTTTCAGAACATGGGATGCTGAGCGCTACCGCCTCGCTTGGTCTTATACATTTATGGGACGTGGATGGTGGTTTAACACCCATCGATAAATATTTGTATTCTACAGAAGATTATATTAAATCGGGTGCACTACTGGCCTTAGGAATTGTAAACTGTAGAGTAAAAAACGAATGCGACCCAGCTCTAGCGTTATTATGCGACTATGTCAATATAAATAATGAGGTCCTCCAAATTGGAGCTATCCTAGGTATTGGTCTGGCTTATGCAGGTACTTACCAGTAATGAACTATAATATCTTTATTATTACCATTATCTGATTTTTACACAGGAAGTCAACGTGATGATGTGCTAGGTTTGATTCTACCTGCCCTAAATGTTTCAAAGTCCTTGGAAGTTCTGGCTGTTACTAGTTTGGCATGTGGATTGATATCTTTAGGTACCAATGATAATGAAGTACCAACAAACATACTGAACGTTATGATAGAGAAACATACATCCGATCCAGAATGTTTAAAGTCGGTTTATATGAAACTAATGGGATTAGGGGTAGCTTTATGTTATTTCGGAGCAAGAGATGCTATTGATGTTTCTTGTAATGCTATGGAGGTTTTTGTTACAATTAAATTTTGGTAACATTTTTAATAGACACAACTTTTTCAGGTTTTTCCAGAGCCATTTAAAAGCGCCGTCCAGACCATGTTGTTGATGTGTTCGTATGCCGGTACTGGAGATGTTTTAATAATTCAGGAACTTTTGGGAATGGTAGGTGAAAAACTTGAACCGACTGAACAAGAAAAACCAGTTAAAGAAACGCCTAAGCTCAAAGAAATTCCAAAAGGCAAAAGTAAGAAAATTCCTGATTGGGATTATGGTATGGGCCAAGCTGTAGCTGCTCTGGCTGTAGCTTCAGCGTCATTTGGTGAAGAAATAGGTACAACGCTCATATAATTATATTAATAATTATTATTAATAAAATTATATGAGAATTTAATATATTTTGACGATGACAGTCGATTTCTATTCGAAGGTAAATTGGTTTTTGTAAATTTTTGAGTGTCGTCTGTCGAACTTGTCCTTAAGATGAACAGACAATATATTATATTAGAATATATGAGTATAAAGTCTTAAAATAATAATACATATTAACTTAAAATAGCTTAACAATTTATTTAGCTGCTATCGTATGTTATAAGTTAAAAAAGAAATTTGTAGGAAATATTCAAAATGAAATATTTGCTATATTTTCATGAGTTCTTTAAGAGTTCTTCATGAGTTCTTCGTAGAGTTTGATAAAAGATTTCCTCTTAAATAAAATGGGAAAATTCTGTTGGCCACTTTTATAAAATATACTTACATGGTATTTCGAATGTTTAGGTCAGCTATGCAACATACGATGTATTATTATTGATTTAACAGGTATGGAGATGGTTCAAAGGATATTTGGTCATATGGGAAAATACGGCGAACCCTCGGTAAGAAAAGCCGTACCACTCGCCATAGCTCTATCATCTATTTCAAATCCTCAATTGCCGGTCTTGGACGTTTTAACTAAGTATTCTCATGATTCTGACGACGAAGTAGCTTGTAATGCCATTATTGGATTGGGTTTAATTGGTTCAGGTACTAATAACGCCCGATTGTCTTCTGGTCTAAGACAGTTAGCAGTTTTCCATGCCAAAAATCCCTCGCAATTATTTATGGTTCGTATAGCCCAGGGGCTGGTACACATGGGTAAAGGAACTGTCACTTTAAACCCCTTACACACCGATAGAATGTTATTAGACCCAGTTGGAATGGCTGGTAAGTGATAAAGTGATAAAACTAACTTCACAATATAATTCAATCTTTTAAGGGCTATTGATCATTGCTGTATCACTGCTTGATCCATTTTCATTGATATTGGGCAAATCGCATTATTTGCTTTATTGTCTTGCTGTGTCTATTCAGCCCAGATGGTTACTTACTTTAGATGAAAAACTTGAAGTCGTTACAACTACTGTGAGGGTGGGTCAAGCTGTCGACGTTGTTGGAAAAGCAGGTAATAAGATCCGGCTGAATGATTACGCTCATCGTATTTTTAATCAAGAACTAATTTTTACGTATATTTATGAATAGGAAGAATACACTTTTCACAGGGTACCTATCAAAAACCTGACGCAATTAGGGGTTGCCACGGTCCAAAGTTTTTCCTACAAGCTCGGCAACAGTGCGTCGGGCACCTCTACCTCCTATAATAAATAACTTAGGAATTTTGTATAATTGCCAAACTAAAGTATGTGTTAGGATGTAGTTCAGGAAAATATTTTAACTTCTACAGGGTGGCTTAAAAAAGAATGAGTGGATCGGGATGATTTTTTTAAAAAGGAACACTCTGTATATTATTCTTTTGTTAGATGGAGAATTAAAAAATGAACATTTTTAATACTCAAAGTATTTGAAAATTTTTTAACGGTTTCGCAAATATTCGCGTTTTATTACATATATATGGCTCTTTCAACTTTAAAGTTTTGAAATACTTTAAATATTAAAAATGTCCATTTTATAATTCTCCATCTAATAAAAGAATAATATACAGGGTGTTACATTAAAAAATCATCCCGATCCACTCATACTTTTTTGAGCCACCCTGTAGAAAAATAAATATTTTCCTGAAATAAATCCTAGTATATACTTTACTTTGGCACTTATACAAAATTCCTAAGTTTTTTTAATATAGGAGCTACAGATGCTCGACGCACTATTGCCGGGTTCGTAGGAAAAACTTTGAAACGTTGAAACCGTTAGTTGCGTCAATTTTTGATAGGCACCCTGTGAAAAGTGTATTTTCCTATTCATAAATATACGTAAAAATTAGGTTTTGGTTAAAACTACGAAGAGCGTAATAATCATGTAGTCGGATCCTGTACTATAATAAAAACGCAAATATTTGCGAAACTTCATTTGTATAGGTACCTAACCTATACATATTTGCCATAATACGCATATTATATTGTTGCACACTTTCTACACTACAAATAAATCAGTTATTATTATTATATAAATAGGGAACATTTAAATTTATTCATAGTTTACTGAAAATTTTATTTTCATTATTTTATCAGGTACCCCCAAAACAATAGCAGGTATACACACTCACACAACTCCAGTTTTATTGGCAGTTGCAGAAAGAGCAGAGTTAGCAACTGATCAGTTTGCACATTTTGCACCAACGCTGGACGGAATTTGTGTTTTAAAAAAGGAAGCGAATGTTGCATCTTAATAGATTTTTTAAAGGTTTTATTACTCATTACTTTTTAATATTACTATAAAATAATAAAAATAATATAGTAAAGTTTGTTCTTTATTAGCATTTAAATTCACATGAGATATTAGGCGGCGCGGCGTGAGCTATAAACTTTGTATTATCTAATAGGTATTTAAGGCTGGAACCACTGGAACGCACTACACGTCACGTTATAACATGCCGTGTCACGCCACACGCTGGGTGTACATATTTATAATACGCAACCTGATGAAACGCTTATTGACTTCAATACAATTTTGATTTTAATCCGAAATTTTCTTAGTTTTGAGTTATTAGTTTGTTTTTAGTAGTTTTGAATACGATGGAACGATGCATAAAAGTATGTAGGTTTAGTCTGCTGACAAAGAATGTGTTAATGCGCTTGTAAAGTACGAAAAAAAAAGATTTTAGGCTCACAAGATCAACAGAAATACATACTATGCCTCTTATGTATTAATTTGTATATATTTGTCTTCTTATGTATTAATTAACGATGCTTTTTATGTATTAACTAGCGTGTACCAGCGACTTCGTTCGCGTCGAATTAATCATTTGTAATGGCGATGATAAAGCAAAGCAAGAATTTCCATTGACATACAAACTGGATAAAATTTTCTCACATTTATGTCAGCATGAGAAAAAACAATATGGCGATATTATTATATAACTTGGTAATATTTGACGGGTAGTTTCATCTCGTTGGAATTTGATTTTCGAAAAATCCGTTTGCCAAAAATAAGCTTTTTACGTCAAGCAGTTTAAGCAGAATCGTGGTTAAGAAATTACCCAACTTTTTGGAACACCCTGTATAATTTTTAAAAAATTTCAAAATATGTAAAAAAATCCAAATAAATTATGCTTGTCCAAGCGTTTTCCCGAAAGACTAACCGTTTTTTAAATAACAAATATTGTAATATTTGAGGGGCGTTTTCACCCTCTTGGAATTTGAAATTCGAGAAACTCATCCTTATCGAACCTCTATAGTCAATCCGCACTCCACAGTCAATCCGTTTGCCAAAAATCAGTTTTAAACGTCAAGCAGTTTAAGCAGAATCGTGATTACTCAATGGTCATATTTTATGAAACACCCTGTATACATTTATAAAAAATCTTAAAATATGTAAAACAACAAAATAAAATAAACGTGTTAAGAGTTTTTTCCGAAAAACTCACCGGTTTTTAAATAAAAAATATTTTAATATTTGAGGGATAGTTTCACCCCCTTAGAATTCGAGTTTCGAAAAATTCCTTCTTATCGAACCCCTATACCCTAAAGTTAATCTGTTTTCCAAAAATCAGCTTTTTACGTCAAGCGCTTTAAGTAGGATCGTGATTAATCAATGACCAGATTTTTCGAAACACCCTGTATACATTTTTAAAAAATCTTAAAATATGTAAAAAACAAAATAAAATATACGTGTTTAAGCGTTTTTTCGGAAACTTGGCCGTTTTTTAAATAAAAAATATTGTAATATTTGAGGTGGTTTCACCCTCTTGGAACTGGAATTTCGAAAAATCCCTTCTTATCGAACCTCTACACCCTAGAATCAATATGTATGCCAAAATTGAGCTTCTTACCTTGAGTGGTTTGAGCAAGATCGTGATTAATCAGTATGTCAGTCACTTAACGATTTTATATATTAGTATAGATAAAAAAAACTGGAGATAGATTGCATAGAGATATACACTTCATAAATTACTAGATAAATAAAGCAGATAAATACCGGGCTATAAAGGTAGGCTTGGTATATCCCTACATCTTAAGACGCGTCGGTAGATAGTATTTAAGAATTTTGTCTAGTGTATATGGAGCACAACGATGTAAATGGAAGAATAAACACATACCTTTTTGTCAGTCATATGTTATGGCGGGGAGACTGGAGAATCTGGTATGACGTTGCGTGTTGATATTGGATTCCCCCCTTTACAATGTGATATTCTAACGAACGCAACTGAGCACAATACTTGTATTAAACTAATGCTAATATTTAAGTTGGCAATTCTTGGACCTATTCTAAGAAAAAAAAATACTTCATATAAATGTATACCCTATACATCTTAATTGAGATAAGGTGTGGTAAAAAAAGAACATTTATATATATAAATTATGTTAACATGTTGTTAACATTTCCAAAAGACTTTCTTCATAATAACTCTGATATCATAAATATATTTATAATAAAATATATTTATGAATCTTGATACAGGGCTCCTATGCATCAACGTGCCTTTTTTGATGTACATACAATTTTATTTATACATATCAACCATTGCCGTCCACAACGGTTTCATATTGAATATTTTTGGTGAAAAAAAATGGTCACTGACCCTGGAAGGAAAGTAATTTTCCTTCCAGGGTCAAATCGCTAAAAATACTAAAAATTTCCGAAAAATCGTTTCTGCATCGACTGAAAGGATATTAAGCGATACAACATTTTTTTGTGCTTAAAAATTGCATTTTGATCACAGAATTTTGATGCATAGATTAAATTTCATAGAGATATCTGATGTAACAGTTATGAAAAAAAAAACATTTTTTAGATGTTACCACTCTGTAACTCAAAACTTAACGATGTTTAAGACTAAGACATACAATCATATGAAGTTTTTTTTCTTAGAATAGGTCCAAGAATCGCCTCCTTATACTCTGCTGGTCATCCAATTTATGTGGTCTGAATTTTAATGCGTGTAACAGAGAATAATATAAATGACCGGTTGACAGACAGAGAGACAAAATCAACAGCGGCATAGTGTTGCCGGTTTTTTACGTTTGTAGGAAAATGTGCGTAAAAAATATAAGCAATTTTAAAAATTTTCATGTGTACTACTGAAATGATGATAATATATCTAAACTAAATATAATCTAAAACAGCTGTAGTAAAATGAGTAACTAATAGTGAAATATAAAGTTCCAACTGTAAATGCAACATTTTTCGTAAACGCCTACTTATAAGCTTAATTTTCATGCATCCGTTGTCCGACGATGCGATGATACGATATTAATTTTATTGGTTGAATTTAAAGACTTCGATTGGTTAGAAACGGTTAACCAATTGAAGCCTTTAAATTCAACCAATGAAATTAATATCGTATCAACGTATCGTCGGACAACGGATGCATGAAAATTAAGCTTATAAGTAGGCGTTTACGAAAAATGTTGCATTTAGAGTTGGAACTTTATTTTTCACTATTAGTTACTCATTTTACTACAGCTGTAATAGATTATATTTAGTTTAGATATATTATCATCATTTCAGTAGTACACATGAAAATTTTTAAAATTGCTTATATTTTTTACCATTTGAAATAAAAGATGAAAAAATATAGTTTATAATAATAATAATAATAATAATGCCTTTATTTTCAAAAAAAAGTAAAATAAAATACAGTAAATTATTAATACATTAAGATAGTAAGAAATCATAGAAATTAAATAATTACACCATCAGAATATATATATATATACATATAAATAATCAAAACCCAATTTTGGAGTGGAGCGAAATTCAGAAGCATAATGCTTCTGCTCTTCCATTTAACTCCGAATGCATCCGAATGAAGTACAACAAAAAAAAATAGTAGAAGGTGAAAAAGATTAAAATATGTCATATGAAAAAAGAACAATAAAAAAAAATAATAATAAGCAAAACAAATCAATAAAAAAAACAGTGAAAAAAAAACTCAACTTCAAAGAAGAAAAAAAGTTTCAGTTAGATAAAGAAAAAAAAAGACCTACTGATTTTCATAAAGCCATCGACGGGTATGCATCTTAAATGTATGAATATTTAGAGTTTTTAGGTTTGAAGGTAATTCATTATATAATTTCGCAATACAATAACTGAACGAACCTTCAAAAAGAGAGGTCTTATGGTAGGGAATTGTAAGAGTGTCCTTTCTAATATTAACACTATGCGCATTCTCTCTAAGTTGAATCTTTTCAAACAGGTAAGTTGGTTCTTGGGTAGTAATAATAAAATGATACAGACTCAGTGTGCCCAAACGATGCCTATTCTTCATACTGAGCCACTCCAATTCTCGAAGTTTATGCGAAACATGGTCAAATTTTCTTAGATTAAAAATATATCTCAAACATGTATTCTGCACTTTTTGTATTCGATACACTTCATGAGTGTTTAAGGCTTGCGAATACAATGGAGCACAATGAGAAAAATGCGACAAAACTAGGGCATTACACAAGTTAGCCTTGAGCTTATGACTCAGATAATAACGGTGAGGATACAGTTTTTTAAGAACAAATCTTTATTAAACCAACAAACTATTACAGTTTACAAAGGTTTCTCCTATAACTAAACAACGTATAAATAATTAACTAAATGTAAGGTACAAGTCTTTTAGTGGTAGTAAGATCTTAAATATCACAAATGCAGCATGTGAGCGAGTAATAGGACAACTAAGTAACCTATTATTAAAATATGCTTTTCTTTAAAAAAGGGAAAAGTACAAAAATAAAACAATAATAAAAATAAAAACCAGGTTGAAACTAGGTTGAAATGGGCTGAAAAGTTTTAATATATTTTTTTAACAATAATTAAAGTGTTTTTTTATATCTACTTTAAATTTTTTTGTATTTAATTCTTTTAGGCTGTTAGGTAAATTGTTATACATACTTATGCCTTTAAATAATAAAGAGTTAGCACCAGTATTATTCCTCGGTCTTAATGGTTCTCTTTGACTACAGTTCCTAGTATTATGAGTATGTACATTGGTTCTTTTGTTAAATGTTGTTATTAGATGTCTATCTATTTTATAGTTTGATGAATGATTGAGCAAGTTTGTATACTATAAATATTTTGCAGGGATCTGATTTTATATTTTTGAAAGAGCTGGGAAGTTGGAAAAGTTTTTGGCAAATGGTACATATTTTTAATTGCTTTTTTATGGAGCATTATTAAAGGTTTTATAAATTTCTTTTTTGTTGGGAACCAAATTGCTGTTAGGTTTGTTAACAGTTGTCTCAAATCAGCATATGATTTTTGAATGCAGGACGATACATGCCTGCTATAGGCAAAGGATCTGTCTATTATAACTCCCAGATTTTTTGCCTGTTCGACCACAGGCAGTATGGCACCATTAATTGATAACCTAACCTCGCCGAGGAGATCCTGATAATGATTTCCGCCTGCAAACAACATCACCTTTGTTTTTTGAGGGTTTAATATTAAGTCATATTTAATGGATTCAAGATATATGTTATGTAAATCTAAATTAATTTTATTAAGAGCAAGGCCAAAATCAGTCTTAGCAAAAGACGCATATATCTGCGTATCATCAGCATAAGCGTGTGTATGGGAATACCGAACTACATTTGTTATTTGCGAAGTATAAATACAAAACATAAGAGGCCCCAAGATTGAGCCCTGAGGCAATCCCCGACCTAACTCAACAGGTCCGGAAATGTTTGCTCCCAATTTAACCATCTGCAGCCTATCTGTAAAATAACTCCCAATCATCCGCACCGCATCGTTCGAAAATCCGTAATAATGAAGCACTGACATGAGTACGTTATGATTCAAACAATAAAAGGCCTTACTGTAATCCAGCAATACAAGGATCGAAATATTACCCCTATTCAGTTCTGTCAATATATCATCCGATATTTTCAGTAAGGCACTCGCACAACTATGACCGGCACGGAAACCCGACTGATGACGGGCCAAAATCTGATTGTTTTTGGCATATGTTTTTATTTGGTCATTCAATACATGTTCTAATATTTTCGACATATACGGTAATATGCTAATGGGACGTAGGTCCTTATATTCCTTAACATCCGGAGACTTGGGAATAGGCCGGATCAAGGCTATTTTCCATTTTTCTGGAAAATAGTTTTCTAAAATGCAACTGTTTATAATATGTAATAAAAAAATTTGTATAACTGGATAACTCATTTTAATCATTGAAGAACTGATTTCATCGATTCCTGAAGCACAAGTTGTTATTTATTGATTATGGATAAAATTACTTCTTCGTTGATTAAGGTAAAATTAAATTGAGAATCAATCAAATTATGATAAGTATTGTTGTTAAAATATTTCAGCAAATCTGTGTGATTTTGGTGTAGGGGAGGAATGCCCTCAATGAAAAACTTATTAATTGAATCTACATTGCTTAAGCAATCCGGTATATCGTTGTTTGCAATCAATTTACCAATATTAAAATCCCTCATTTTTTTCCAAAGCGTCCTGGTATTACTATGACTGTATAAATTTTGAAAATAAGCCCTCTTTTCCTGCTTCACCAAAGCTGTAATAAGATTACGCAATTGTTTGTATTCCTCCCAAATACTAAACGATTTTGTTTTTTTAAATTTATATTTTAATTTGTCTCTAGTTTTCATTAGCGACTTTAAATCGTTGGACAACCAAGAAGCAGCAACCTTTGTTATCTTAATAGTTCTACGAGGAACATGTATATCAAAAACTTCTATTAATGCGTCATTTAAAAACTTTAGTTTCATATCTATGTCTTTAATATAATAGATTTTATCAAGTTCTTGATTTTGTAAATCGGAACAAATTTTATTACTATTAGCATTTTTAAAATCACGATAATTCTTAAAAAGTGCCGGTGATCTAAGCATCGAAAGTATTACGAAAACTGCATCATGGTCAGACAGGTCAGGGGAGTTGACTCCAGAATCAAGTACAACTTCAGTGTTTGTAGTTAAAATCAAATCAATGAGCGTGGAAGTATCATGCGTGACTCTAGTATAGTTACCTATAAGCTGATTGAGGCTATAATCACTCATAAACTGTTTGAGACAACCAAATCCAGCCGAATACTGATTTAAGTAATTAATGTTAAAATCACCCATACAAAAAATATTTTCACTTAGAACAAGTGCATTTGAGAAACTTACATCTAACTCTTCAAAGGAAGCCTTACAATCATTAAGAGGGGGCTTATAAATAACGGCACAAACTACTTCCCATGTTTTATATTTAATATTTACCCATAATTGTTCGATATTAGGAGTAGACTCAATAATGACAAACTTTAAACTGGTAGAAATATACAGTCCTACACCCCCACCCCTGGAGCCTCTATCTCTTCTTATAAATCTATACCCGTCAATGTTCACATCTCTTGTTTTGATTTTAGCATCTAACCAAGTTTCAGATACAGCCAAAAGATCACATTTATGTAGTGAGAGATACATCTTAACGTCGTTCACCTTATTGAAAAGTGATCTAATATTAATATGATGTAAGCTCAATCTATGTTTATATTGTTTATCCATAGTCAATTCTATTCTTAAAGTTATTAACATAATTTATATAGAATGAACATCGGCCGTCATAATTATATAGAATGAACATCCGTCGCCAAATGATCAAAAGGAATATTATTTTTATATTTTTTATTATGGTTAACACAGTTTAAACATATATTTTCGGAAGACTTACAGTCTTTAAAGGAATGTTCGCCACTACACCTACCACAGGTAATTTTACTTCTGCAGTCTTTTTTAGATGACCTATTACACAACAATTATAACACCGAGTAATGTTTAAGTGTTCAGTCAAAAAACACCGTTGCCAGCCTATATAAATATAACTTCTCTGAATAAGATTATTATAGATAAAAGACGGCACTTCCAATACAATATTACACAAATTATTTATCGTTTTTAACTTTGTAACAATTTTAAAGTCCGATACACTAAAATTTTGAAAATCGTTTAATAAAAATATGTTATCAAGTATGGAATTGTCACTAGCAAGGTCAGTTGTCAATCATAGATAAATGCAACAAGTTTAGATTGGAAAGCCCGTAAAAATTTTAGGTTGCGAAATTATTTTGGGTCGCGACCGTTATACGTGATCTGGCGCTGCTATAGCGGTCGCTAAGAACAACGGCAAACAAAAACAGAAATAATTTTCTCTTGTCAAAGTCAGAATCTTCAAAAATCATAATAATCTTTCAAAATCTCAACCGCTCTCATTAAAGAAATTCCGAAAAGTGTTTATAGCGTCCATTTCAAAGTAATTATTGCTATCTTGTGAGTTTAATTCAAGTTTTATTTACTCCAACCGGTAATAATTGTGAAAAAGTGGCATTAAAAACTTAAAAAGCTGTGCTGAGAACTGTAAACTGCAAAAACCATCGTGGATCGTGGCATAACGTCGGTTTCCAATGTTTCATAGGTATTTCATACATGCGTCCTTATATAAAATAAAGTTTCTTGTATGCAACACACTGTATTTTATTTATAAAATTAAACGAAAATAATAATAAATTTGATTAAACAATATTTGGCGATATAATTCCGGAAAAAGCCGAACCGCTCCGAAATTTTCAAAAGTTTTGGGTCGCGACCGTTGCAAGAATAGCGCCAAATAGTGTTTACATTGTCCTTATGGGCACTTTCCAATCTAGATTGAGTTTTTTTGATTCATTCACATTTACCTTGTTTCCTAATTTTGAATTTAAAGCGTCTTTTAGAATTTGAAGATCAGACTGTTTGTTACAGAAAATTGCTGCACCGTTTTTTGTTCTTTTTGTACCATTGACACATACATTTAGTGACGCAGGATTGATGGTATTTACAATAGTTTCTAAAATATTAATCGGAATTCCCATCTCGGTTTTCTATCAACAATACCGATGAATCAGTGTTTAAATTCTTTTTTGCTGCTGCACTGTAGGAACTGCTAGGTTTAATCGTCGGCAAAAAAACTTGGCCTGCTTCGGAATTCTTCTTATCTTGCATTCCATTTTTTAAGATGTGATTCATTTTTGATTTCAGGAGGTCATTGGACTGTTCCATTTCTTGAAGTAGACGGTCAGTTAGTATCTTCTCTCTTTAGCATTCGATTTCTTTTTCGCATAGACGTATATCGACATGCGTACTATCCGGTACTGCATTTAATTTAGGCAGATTTTTATTTACAATTGTCTCACAACTCACAATTATCACAAAACCAATAGATATTAGCTACTTTGGGCACAATTTTACAAATTTCGTCTCTTAGACTAACGCAAGCCGAATGGAACTTATTTTTACACAAACCACACACTATTGACTTAGAATTAACTATAAAATTGTCGGAACATCGCGAGCAGACACTCACGTCCGACGCCATTTTTCGAACGGGCGTTATCATTGAACGGGCTTTATCATTGATTTATTTTAAAACATATGTATAAATATAAATATTTTCTGAAATAAATAAAATCTATTTTGTCATATAAATAAAATTAAATCAAATAGACAATTAGTCATCAGTTTTGTTACACATTGCAGTAAAATCACACTTTTTTAAGCTATGACTGTAGTAGTCCAATATTTTGTTATAATCACATAAATCAGAATCGGGACATGGAGGTAATCTGACAATGTTTTCTTGGTGAAGTGTTAAAATTTCTTGGTTACCGTTACAGCTAAAATTTAAACCATATAGTAAAAATTATATATTAACCGGACACAAAGCAGTCTTACTTAAATAATACAAAAGCCAAATTAGTACCAAAAGCATCAATCAAGCTAGTTCTCCATTTTCTATTAGTCATTTTGTTATAATTTGTTGATCTTAATGCTTCCTGATCCTTATACAAACCCATATGAGCCAGCATTTTTAACAATGTACCAGAATGGGTAAAATATATAGTTGCTTTAGGATATTGGTTAGATCTAAAACATTGTGAATCAGAAAAATTTACAAAATAATTGTTAAGGGGTTTCTTACATATCTAGGTGACTGATCATATCACCAAATGCCGGACAGGCTTGTTGATATGTTAACTCATGTCCATATCCATCAACCCAATAATATTTGAGATCTTCCATATACTCGAGAACCTTTAAAAAATAAACTGTAATATATTTATCTAAACTTGTATTAGAATATACTTTAAAATCTTCTTCAGAAAACACAGAACACCAAGGCGATTTACTTTGCTTATTCCAAGCCGTCTCAAAACCGCATGTGATATACATGACATAAATATCACCTATAAAAAATAGGACAGATAACAAGCAGCATCGTGGAATTAGCACACATACCTAAATCAATTTCATCTTGCAATCCCAATCTTTTATTAACATTCCGTATTACATCAGTCATTTCAAAACCAGCAGCAAACTTTTTATATTGACCGGTATCTTTTTCTTTGGCTTTGATTTCCTGTCTCCATTTATCACATAATTTATAAAACTATAAAAAACACAGTAGTAAGAAGTAACAAAACAAAAAACCAAGTCATACTCTTAAAATTGGATCCTTCTTTAAAGGTTCCGGAAACCAAACTTCTTTAGCTGTGTGTTTTCCGAATAAACCTGCAGCAAAATATAATGCACTTTTCTTTGTTCTTTGGGAATAGGTATATCTGAACTAAAAAAATTAAATGGATAGATATTTTTTAAAAATCAATCATATAATTTAAATAACCAACTTTGTACGTTGTGTTACTGTAAACTTCATTAAAAATATCAGGAAAGCGATTTTGCATTCTTTCTGCTAACAGTAACATTTCTTCTTCACCCTCATGGGTAAGTTTTGTTTCATCATCAATATCTAAGCGGGTTCTCCATTTACGGAATAAATCCAGATCACGGTTTTTAATATTATCTAAAAAGATTGTTTTGTAAATTAGTAAAGCCAGTTTTAAAAATGTTTAATACCATTTGGCAGATTCTCATTTTCCAATATCAATTGTTGAATTTTTGGAAGTTTGTTTTTCATGTCTTCAATATTTGTCACACTTGGATTTCTCGTCCCATGTCTTACAATCATCCAAATTTTAGTTGATACACATCCTGCATGATAAAACAGTATATAATATAAGTAACTACCAATTCTATTTTTATACAATTACCATTATAATAAATTTTATCAAATGATATATTGGACACACTTCGATATGGTGTCCTTGTTCCTAAATGAACTTGAAAAGGATATTCGTTAGAGCATTGCTCACATTTGTTAATAAAATGATATATTATAAAACACAATATAAACGAACGAATGGTCATTGTAACATGCTCTTCTGTTTACAGAAAGAACAGTTATATCACAACTGGTAGAACACAAATTATCGGTTTACACTGGGCTTTACTAATTTTACAGCTTTTATGTGATGTGTTATTCATAAATATTACACTGAATAATTTTAAAATTGCTATAACGAAATTGATATCAATTATAACTTTTTTACATGCATGTCACGCCGTTGTTTACAGATGTTATTTAACCATAACTGACCATAATAACAATAAGCCAATTTCGAGCGATCAACCGTTAACCTCGTTAACTGGTTATGGTTGACAGCAAAAGTTGACAGACTTAGTTGACAGATAACAATGCTTTAAAGCCTCGTCAATGCCTTCTATTAAAAGATCAGCCTACGGGCGGACTTTTGTTTACTTCATCAGCTGTACATACTTAGATATTGGGTTAGATTCCGTTTCATATTTTGTCGGTTGATTTTTGGTTTTAACTCTTTGATTTTTGGTATTATTTATTATTGTAGTGCAAAAAACTAATTATTTTGGTGTTGAAGTGACATAAACTACTACCAGATATATGGTCACTCTCGGTTTCGCATAAAAAAATAGAAATTTTAAAAATTACACGTTGTGCAAGTGATTTAACCTAAAAGTGCCCATACATTTTTTACTTATCGTGATTTTTGTGTGTGTTTTTTAAGACTCTAACAATTCATCAATAAAGCTTAAGTGGAGTGTGTTATTGGTGCTATGCCTCATCTTTGTTGTGTTCCTGGTGGAAAGGATAGTTACTAAGGATAGTTATTATACTAGGCAGCCTAAAGTGTCCGGAAGAGCAAGAAAAGTGGGTACGAGTTATAAATCAAGAGAATTTTATTGAAAATATCTTTAATAAATTTAAAAATAATATTCTCCCATGATGGTATTAATGAAACTGGACAATTATGTTTATTTTATTCATATTGTGGAATCTCCACTCCAAGTGTTGCTGGTTCAGCTTCGATAGATTCAAACACGTAAGTAGGTATTATGATCTAGGGAAAAATAAAGAATATGTGTATTAGAGATCATGAAAAAGATTATTATTTTGAGTTCAAATTTTAAAAAAAGATTTTTGTAAAGACAAGACTGATACAGTTTAAAAGAAGAATGTGTTTTTGTTTGATAATATATAATGTATGTTAAGCATAACATATATTTGTTCAGTAATTTTTAATGAATAGTATTGATTATTTATAATACCAAATTAATATCAAATATTTAAGTGATGGCTGAATACAATATGAATAAAATAACAATAAAATTGGTATATTTGCATAATACAAAATTAAGTTTTAAGAATAAAGGTGTTACTAAAAATACTAAGAAATTCATATTTCTTTGTTTTAATTGGTCTAATGTTATTTACATTTTACGTAAGAATTATACCGTATCATCGAAAAAAATCGGCGTCTAGTTGGCTTGGAAATGAACATCGATGACATTCCCTAAATAACTGTACACATAAAATAATTAACTAGAATTTTACAATCTTGGAAAATTTGATATTCTTGAACCTTGATTCTAAATATTCTAAAATTTTTGATTTTCTTGGGATTTTTAGGTTCGGGAAAAACGCTGATTGATTTTTCATTTGGTTTTTCATTATTTTTATTTGGTTTAAAAAAAAACGGTTCGGCTAACATTATAGCCTCCATCAGTGTTGTGTCATATGAAAAAAATAGTGTCGAATATAATCCAAAAAATTGCATATAAAATATGCACACCACGCACATAATGTTTACTGCGTACTCCATAGTCAATGTAGATAATTTTAGTGTTAAGAATAATAATTTTAAAAATATGTGGTCATCTTTTGATAAGTTTATATTAGTTTATTAATTGCAGTAAACATTATGAGGTGTGAATTATATTGTATATGTAATTTTTGGATTATATTCGACACTATTTTTCTCATATGACACAACACTGTGAAGGCTATAGTTAGCCGAAACGTTTTTTTTTTAAACCGAATAAAAATAATGAAAACCCAAATGAAAACTTAATCAGCGTTTTTTCCCGAACCTAAAAAATCCCAAGAAAATCAAAAATTTTAGAATAATTTAACATATAAAATGCCAGCGATCTTCATTTCATAGCCATCGCTGACGCCTTTTTTAGATAATATTGTATTATTTGTAAATATAATTTTTCGAACATTGATACTTGCAAAATATACATATAAATTTTGTGAATGCAAATAATAATACATCACTATTAGTAGATATTCAATGTTTTTTGTTAAATTAGATCGATTTTCAAACCCCAAAATTTAAAATATATTTACATTTTACCCATTATCTTATGTACCTATACATTATTTGTACATTGTAAAACATTTGCTGCATATGTATGGTTCATAGTTTATTTGCCAAAGTATTTATTACTATAAATAGGTATATATGTTGTAGTTATTAACTGTATATTATGTATATTTCATTTAAACTATCATTTTTAAAATACAAACCAAAAATCTGAGGAATAATTATGTTTTCCATGTATTCTACAACATATTTATTAATCCGTTATATCTAACTAGCGTGACGTCATAAATCTCGCCCGTAGGCTGATCTTTTAATAGAAGGCATTGGCCTCGTTTTCAGAACGACGCACAGTGCTTCGAACATATGGCATATGGCTCTAGAGGACAAAAATGCAAAACTTCCCTTTTATTGTAGGATTTGTAGGCAATTTATTCAAACCTAAGATTCAAACTAGGTTTATTTGACACAAATGATGAGTACTCTGGGTCTTGTGCAGAACAGGTCCCCACGAAATCGTGGTTTTTTTAATTTTTAATGTGGATCCCATAGTTAATGGAATGGTTTAAAAGAAAAAAATTGTTGGATGAACCACTTTTTCTACGAAAAAAAATAATTGAAAATTCCAAATTTTCACTACATTCCATTCCGAAAACTCCCTATTATAACCCTAATAAAGACAGTAAAATACAAGGTTATGCACAGTGTTGCCATACTCACCCTGTGTAAAATCGACGAAAACGTTCTACTTTATATTCATTTTTTTTACATTTAGTACGCACTTTAAGAACACGAAAAATTAAAAATATAATAAACAAGGCAAAACAAAAACACTATAAAAATAAATTGACAATAAAATCATTACACAGTATTTAGCACAATTGTTTAAAAATATATTTTTCCCGGATTTGTTCAGTAAGATTCCGAAATCGATGTGATCTGCGTACTTCCAAACACTCCCCACCAACCTAACCTAACCAATGCATTAACACCCCCAAATAACCAGGCTAACCAATGCATTAACACCCTCCAAATAACCAGACTAACCAATGCATTACCACCCTCCAAATAACCAGAATATCTAACCTAACCTAACCAATGCATTAACCCTAGAATACTAACCATCGTAAATTTTACGACGATACTTAATTTCGACCACGATTTTATCGTCGCGGTAGACCCCTTTCCGTTGTGCGCTCTTCTAGTCTTCTACTAAATATCAGTGTGCGTAGGTTGGTGGCCCAGTGTGCATAGTATGGTGATCGGAAGAGTGTTAATTCAGCAGCGACGTCGTAGTTTTTACGAAGGTTAGTATTAACGTTATATTTAATCATATGCCCTTGTTTGAATATTTTTCTTCAATATTGCTAGATTCTACTTTTTTTCAGAATATATCATGGCAGCTAAAAAGTGGGATAGGATAAGACCATTAACTGAAAGAGAACTACTGTTAGAAGCCCAAAAAGGCTTAGAAGGGTTTTTGCCGGGTGAAAATGATGATAATTGTGATGAGACAGAAAGCGGTTCCAGACAGAAGCCTTTAGTCCATCTGAGTCTGAATTTGAGCCGACAACTAGCAGTGACACTGATTCAGAATATGACTTACCATCTACAAGTAAGAAAAGAAAAAAGGCATCCAAAGTAAGCAATTTATCTTGTATTGCAGTCAATCCTGAGGATGAAAATACGGTGTCAGATAATCAGGAAGAAAATCAAGATGCAACACAGGATATTATAACAATAGGAAGTACCGTAGATAAACCTGTAAAGCGGCTACGCCTTCCCACAAGTCTAAAAGGTAAAAACGGACACAGGTGGTCATCCGAGCCAAAAGCACCGAGAAGAACTCCCAAACGCAATATTGTACACATCATGCAAGGTCCCACTAATGCTGTCAAAGAAGCATTTACTTCTTTAGACGTTTTTCATTGAAATGTTAATTGTTAATTATACAAATGCTGAGATATTCATTCGAGCTCAAAAATATAAGACAAGTAAGTACACTAACTCAGACGTAAAACAGGAAGAATTGCATGCCTTATTGGGACTTTTAATATTCGCGGCCTCTCAAAAGGATAATCACTTGGCAAGAGAGAAATGTTCAACGAAAAGCTTTCAGGTTCAATATATAAAGCAACAATGAGTTTCTCATAGAGTGTCTTCGATTTGATGATAAAGCCACTCGGTCAGAAAGGAAAAAATCTGATTCATTAGCGGCAATACGAGAAATATGGGACGACTTAATGGATAAATGCAGAAAATCGTATAAACGGGATCCTACCTTACAATCGACGAACAGCTGCTGGCTTTCAGGGGAAGATGTCCCTTTAGGATGTACATCCCAAATAAGCCAGCTAAATATGGACTAAAAATTGTTATGATGTGTGATGTCGGTACTAAATACATGTATGATGCCGATCCGTATTTGGGCAAAGGGACTAAAACAAATGGCCAACCACTCGGAGAATTTTATGTTAAAAAATTGACCCAAGCAGTACATGGTAGCAACCGGAATATAACAACCGATAATTGGTTCACTTCGGTACCCCTGGCTACAGACCTTCTAAAAGCCCCTTACAATTTAACCTTAGTAGGAACCCTAAGACAGAATAAAAAAGAGATTCCTCCAGAACTATTGAACCTGAAAAATCGAGAAATTGGGAGTTCACTCTTTTGTTTCGACGGTGAAAAAACTCTGGTTTCATATAAAACCAAAACAAACAAATCCGTTCTTCTTCTCTCAACATTGCATGATGGTCCAATACTTTGTGATAAGACTGGAAAACCTGACATTATCACGTTTTATAATGCAACCAAATATGGTGTAGATACATTTGACCAGATGTGCGGGAACATGAACGTATCAAGGAAAACAAGGAGATGGCCGCTTTGTCTCTTCTACGGTATGATTAATATAGCCTGTATTAATTCATGGATTGTTTATAATCATAACCAACGAAGAAAGGGATTAGAAACAATCTCGAGAAAAAAAATTATGTGTTTATTATCAGAGCAACTAATAAAACCATGGTTGGAGCAGCGGAAAACTTGGCCAACTTTACCCGCTCGCTAAGACTGATAATCGAAAATATTTTAAATTCAGATGGACCACAGGAAAGAGCAACTCCTATTGAAAACAAACATGCGATGTGTCAATTCTGTCCTTCAAAAAAACGCAGAATGACGACCAACTATTGTAAGCACTGTCAACGGCCTATTTGTGGAGAACACCGTGCTTTTTGTTGTGTTTCTTGTTCTTCAAAAATGTAATTTTTTTGTTTCTTTTTTAATGTTCGTAATTATAAATATCAAATGAATTAATCAATGTGTAGTTACAGTTAATAAATATTAAAAATGTTTTCTGTAAATCGTGTTCTTTTTTAAAGTCGTAAATTTTACGAAGGTTAGTATTAATAGGCAGCCAAATAAGGTTAGTATTCTAGGGTTAACACCCCCAAATAACCAGGCTAACCAATGCATTAACACCCTCCAAATCACCAGGCTAACCAATGCATTAACACCCTCCAAATAATCAGGCTAACCAATGCATTACCACCCTCCAAATAACCAGCCTATCTAACCTAACCTAACCAATGCATTAACACCCCCAAATAACCAGGCTAACCAATGCATTAACACCCTCCAAATAACCATGCTAACCAATGCATTACCACCCTCCAAATAACCAGGCTAACCAATGCATTAACACCCCCAAATAACCAGGCTAACCAATGCATTAACACCCTCCAAATAACCAGGCTAACCAATGCATTACCACCCTCCAAATAACCAGGCTAACCATTGCATTAACACCCTCCAAATAACCAGGCTAACCAATGCATTACCACCTTCCAAATAACCAGGCTAACCTAATTGAGCCTAATGACAAAACTTCATTGATTACGCGTCGAAAAACAGTATATATTAAAAAAACTTATATTTTCGTAGAACCTGAAAAATCCGCAAATTTTATTTCAGAAATTGCTTTAAAATAATCCACACTAACGAATAAGCTACTAGACAGTTCAATTTTTGTTGCACTAAAGTGATAACTTACCGTTTTAAGTCCCTCCACAACAACTTTATTTCAGAAGAAAATCATATAAAGTAATTTTATTGACAACGTCGCAAATTCTATGCGAAGGCCATAGATGACATACCGATGATCGATTAACTGTCAATCGAAAAAGTCATAAAATTGCTAGCTTGAGCTGATGTAAATAAATATATTTTCTTAATTTTTATGCTTACAAAGAAGATTCGTTACATTTTTGTGCTTAAATTAGATCATTCCACGTCTATATAAGGTAATAAAGTACTAATATGTGATGTTTTTACTGAATCCGTGTAGAAAATTTAACATATTTACTGTCCGTCGCCTGTACCTAAAATACGTTTTTTTGCCGCTTTTTAAAGATAAAACACTTTCATCCAACAATTTTTATGCTTAAAAATATTCAGTTTAAGATAATCTTGCAAAAAAATCCCAAAAAAGTGTTAAATGCGTGGGGACCTATTGTGCACCAGAGCCGAGTACTCTCATTGTACTAAATGATGATGTTCTTAGTCCCACGTTTATGAAAATAAATCTTATAAATAATAAAAATGTTGGAGCTGTGTTCCATCTAAGGAAATAATAATTTATAGTATGAAAACGGTGTAAGTATTAAATAAATCCCTGTGATAAAAAAGAATTGGAATAACATTAGAACATGATTCCTACAATATAAACCTAATATAAGATAAAAATATTTTTCTTTAATGAAAAAGAAACATTAATGCTATATTTAATTAAAAAAAAACTTAAGATACTATAAATTTACTTTAGGACAACAAAATGCATAGATCGTAACTACTCTGATTCAGAAGAATCATTGCTGACAGAATCTTCCAAATTTATAGTATTCAAATCACAGGTAGATGAAATATCCTCACATATAAGATATTTCTGTACATCATTTTCTAATATGTTACTTTTTCGCTTTGTTACTGTTCTTTTTGTTGGTATGAGGGGTTCGGATGTTAATAGTTACCTCTCTAATAGACCATATCCATATATTATTTTTTCGTTTTCTTGGGTATGAGGTTTTATAATAAATTGAAAGATGGAAACATTTTTATGCCACGTTTCGCTCCAACATAGTGGGCTCAGGCACAAGTGGTTATCTCATTGGACTGGAAGGTTCATCAATATCTAATAAAGAACACATTTTTTGAAATATAAATAATTTTGAGTTCTTGTCCTTATGATGAAGCCAAGTATTAACCAGATCGGCATTGCTTATCAATTTTACTCCATCTGAAAAGTATTATAAAATAAAGTTCGTCGCAAGCAGACGCAGGTGAACTATACAAAAATTAAAAGTGTATGAATATGGCAACAAAAATATTCAATAAATACGATATGTTTTGATATGTTTTTTTTAATGCCTTTTTGAAGTTTGAAAATGTAAAATTTTTATACCCATTTAAGAATCATCTTAAAAAATAAATAAAAACTAAACAATAACGAACTTGTTCAGAAATAAATTTAAAGTACATACCTTGTTTAACAATATCCATAGTGGCTTTCAATTAAGTACGTACCGTTTAACTCCATATACAGAACTACGATGAATGTTATTTTTTTCACTGATATAAGATAATGATCGCAAAATTTATTTTTAATGAAAATATTTACTAACAAAAAACGTGAAAAAAAATGTATTTTTGTGAAAAATAATATACAGGATGGTTGAACATTGCTATAAGTATAAAATTACATATTCAGATATTAGTAAATTTTAACTTTTTTTTCGATTTTTGTCCATGGGACGAAGCACTGTGCGACGTCGGGTCGCGGGCGACACAGTTTGACATTTCAAACAACCAATGGGAGCTATACTAAATTTAAAATTGACAGCTGTTTGAATTTTGTACAAATCTCATTGGTTCTTTTGACGTGTCGCTGGCGACAGTCGCTGTTCTGAGAACGGGGCTTTAAACGTCAGTTGTCTACCAATTGGTTTAACCCTGGTTTAACCCTTGATTATGTATAATATATAAACAAGGGTTTAACTGACGTTTAAGCCCCTCGCAACCAAGAACCAATCAGATTTGTACAAAATTCAAACAGCTGTCAATTTTAAATTTAGTACAGCTCCCATTGGTTGTTTGAAATGTCAAACTGTGTCGCCCGCGACACGACGTTGTTCTGAGAACGGAGCTTCATGGCATGAATGAATCCGCGATGAACTTTTTGAAAGGTGACGAACTCAAGGTTATTAAAAGAAAATTACAATATTTTTGACAATAGCTACTAACCATGCTACTAACTGTCACTAGAAACTTGCCATGACGACACCAGCCCTCTTGCTTGCCATATTTTATTGAAAATCTCTATTCAAAATCTGACCTATACAGGGTGTCTCAGAAATAAGTGCAAGTATTTTAAGTGGTGGTAGATCTCGATAAAAGAAACATATTTTCTCTTTTACGTTTTTCAAATAAGTCCAAAATAACGGAGTTATTTTATTTTAAAAATTTCCAAAAAAAATATTTTTTGCTAAAATTTTGAGAACTATTGGATCTTTTCTGGATTTTCTTTCTTGTAAATTTAATCTAATATCTACGTTGCCATATTATCAAGAAATTATGTTTTTTAACTAACAACTAAAAAAATTTCCAAAAAATTGTTCAAAAATTTCGAATTTTCAAATTTTTTTTTCGCGAAAAAAACGTTATATTATTATAGACGTGTTTCTGGAGTTGAACTATACTATCATTTAAAATACTTGCACTTATTTCTGGGACACCCTGTATAGATGGGTATAGGACGTTTAGTTTAGGTATAGGAAACCCTAATATAATTTAAAAGAGCATTTGAATCTGCTTCGATTTATTTTAAAAAATACAGGGGGGTGTTGTATTTGAAATAAAAGTATACAGGGTGGCGTACCTCATTCGCCTCAGTTGATTATACGAAAACGGAAAGATGTAGAAACAAAAATGTTTATGGGTATATGTAGACAGGCAATGTGCATAATTCAAAATTATTTTCAAATGTACAGGGTGTGTCGGAACCAAGATCCATACCAAAGTTATATTCTTTCTTATGGAACACCCGGTATTTTATTTCATTTTTGGATTCTTGGTCATAAAATAAGGCATTTATTATAAGGGTTTAATATGTTTAAATTCTTTGGTTTTTGAGACATTTAAATATATATTTAGCATGCTATAAGAAAAAATATTGTCAACACCCTGTACATTTTACTTTTCAGAGTTAATTCTTGTGCTCACTTTGAAGCCAGAGAAATAAACTTTAAAAAATATTGAAAAAAAAATAAATTAAAAATTTATTGCTTCCTTAAATGTATACAGGGGTATCAAAAAAGCTGGTCTATTTTAAATATTTATTTTACATAAAAACTTTGTTATTTCAAATACAACACTATGTATTTTTTAAAATAAGTCGAAGCAAGATTTAAATAAAAACTATACATATCTGGCTCAGATTTTGAATGAAAAGCGATTTTTCAACTTATTTAAAAAAATACGCGTAGTGTTGCATTTGAAATAACGAAGTTTTTATGTTAAATAAATATTTAAAATAGACTAGTAATTTTTCGTACCCCTGTATATATTTAAGGAAGCAATAAAAATTTTTAGTGAATTTTATTTCTCTGGCTTGAAAGTCAGCACAAAAATAAGTTCTGAAAATTATAATGTACAAGCGGGGTGAACAAATTTTTTTAGGAAAAACCCCGAACGACGAACTGTCGTCGTCTTTGTAACCGATTTTCATTACTTCATAGAGATCTTTTTGAGTTGAGAATATTATAACTTTAGATCTCATGATCGAATAATACGACCCGATGGCTATTGTTGTGTGTTGTGTAAACTTTCTGGATGAGATACAGATACATTACATAAATTGCACTCTATAAAATAGATAAATAAGACATACATACATACAAACATACTGCCATTACTCGCTGACGAGTATTTGACACGCATCAAGAAGATGGTTGCGCAAAGCGTTTTCTTTCATGAGCTTTTCTGTGACTGAAAAGCCCGATTTTATCTCTCTTCCGCACTCCGGACATTCAAAAATCTCATTACTTTGTTGCCTCTTTACTTTTTGGTTGTCGCTGTTAACTGAGTTTACAATTCTCTTCCCTTGTTCTATTGTGCGCTGCTTCTTCCCACTCATTCTGCATGTTTATCCCCTTTAAGTTTTTGTGGAAAATATCTTTGTACCTTTTGAATTGTCCACCCGGTTTTCCCTTACCATCTACAAGCTCACCGTAAAGCAGAGATTTTGGTAGGCGGTTTTATTGCATTCTGCATACGGGACCAGCCCATCTTAAGTGGGATTTGGTAATCATGACTTCAACGCTCTCGAAGTTAGCTTTTTCAAGGACCGATACGTTTGAGACATGGTGGAACCATTTGATTCTAAAGAGTTGTCTAAGGTGTCTCTGTTGTAACTTGTTTAATGCGTTCATATGTCGGCGGTATGGCACCCATCAGGTTTCGCTTCCATATAGCATGGTGGGGATTATTATTGCTCGGTACACTATTCCTTAAAATAAATAAATAAGACAATCTAATATTGGCATAAAATATATTTTACTGATTCTAAACACAATCATCTATAGTCAGTTCAACAAGAGAATATATGACAGTCATAATTTATACAAGCAACAATTTGGGCTAAACAAATAGGATACGAAAAAATAAACAACAGCAAATTTTTCTATTATTGTTAAATATTTGACACCAATCTACATAAAGAGTACATGGAAGTATAATATTATATACCTATAACATTGTAAAAATTTACCACCCGGTCTTTTCAATTATTATTATATATTTATATTCAATTATTATTATTGAAATTTTACTATTTTTCTGAAATTATTTTCCAGTAAAAAGAATGTCGGTCCTTAATAGTCAAATAAAAAACCGGATGGCTTTACAAAAACTAATTTTCTAACTCAATTATCTGAACTACCACAGCAACAATAAGCTGCTTAGCATCATTAACTAATAGTGAATCTTGTTGGTTGTATTTATAAATTAATAAATGTAAAGTTGTATCTCTTTTTTTTGTAAATATAATTTAATAAAGGTGGCACTATGTCGGAAGTTCTACTGTTCTAAAATATTTATTCATAAAATATTTTGTTTCATAAAAATACAGTTTTGTTAAATGCAAACTTTTTTAGCTTCTCACATTTAGATTCAAGCTATAAATATACAGGGTACTACAAATTCGAGGTACTTCCGAGAATTGGTATCTCGGAAACCGTAATAGATGCGAAGATGGTTAAATTGGGGCAAAGTTGCCCTTTGGGATGTTTACCAAGATGCCATCAAAAAAGTTTTAAAAATTTCAAGGATTGCCGAGTTTTTTAGAAAAAATGGATTTTTTTGAAAATCAATTTTACTTTTTCCTGTCGTTACTCTTAATCAAAAAACTAATTGCACATTCACATAGCCACTTTATTAGGGCTATCTGATAGTATTTTTAGATTTTCAAATTAGCTGATAATTTGTGAGAAACAGAGGCCAACATAATTTTTTTAAATACGGACCTGCATTTTGTATTTTAGTTTTTGAAAGAACTCGGTCTCCTGAGTACAATGATATGCCACACTTGATACTTTTTTGTTTTTGGTATCTTAACAACAACAAAACAATTTAATTATCATTTAAAATAACTTCGATCAAGTTCGAGTCTGTTTTTATTAATGATATTATCTGATTATATTCATCGCAACAATATTGACCAACGCTAATTAGCATTGAATAAGGAAAATCGAGCCAATTGAAAGATTCAAATAAATAATAACCAGGTCAGCAATTTAAAGATTCTAAAACTTCTTTTAGTATGAATTTAAAATCTCAGTGTACAATCTAATAATATGCATAATATTAATCGATGTTATTATAAATAAATCAACTTCTACAAACTACTTTGTAATGCTCTACATGTTCGAAAGGGTTACCACCCTGCCTATTGCACAAATTTATTATTCATTCAATTTTATTTATAGCTCTTTGAACATACCTTCTCCTTATACTTCCAAATGCATTTTCTACTCTTTATTGTAAATGTTGAAAATAATGATTTTACTTTTACAAACGACGCGACGTCAAGTAACGCAACACCCCCCGTCCCTTGGCGACAGGTCCAGGAACCTTGATGGCCATTATACTGCTCTACCATTTCCAATCCATCTTCCGGTGAAATGATTTGATTGTTTATATTATTTTATTATATTTATATTATTTACTTTACATTATTTTTCATTGCATTTGATTTTCCGTATTCAATGTTACTGCTACTACCCCACGTCATTGTTAAGTTTGAAGGCTTATCAATATTGTAACGATGTGTTCAAATGTCCGAAATAAAAAAAAAAGTATCAAGTGTGGTATACCATTGTACTCAGGAGAATGCGTTCTTTCAAAAAATGAAATAAAAAATGCAGGTCCATATTTAAAAAAATTAAGTCGGCCTCTGTATCTCACAAATTATTAGTTAATTTGAAAATCTAAAAATACTATCAGATAGCCCTAATAAAGTGGTTATGAGAATATGCAATTAGTTTTTTGATTTTCTAAAAATCTTAAAACTTTTTTGATGGCATCTTGGTGAACATCCCAAAGCGCAACTTTGCCCCTATTTAACCATCTTCGTATCTATTACGGTTACCGAGATACCAATGCTCGTACCTCGAATTTGTAGCACCCTGTATATGTAAAATACTTCATATATTTAAAAGGTATAAATAATAAAAATCACAACATTATAATATCAATTTTCCCTATAATATTTCAACACATAAAAAAAAATAGGTTGAACATAATAGGTATATTTTATATTATTGGCACTGTTTGTAAAATTAATCTTAAAAATGAATATCTAAAAAAAATAAAACAGATCAATTATTTCGAGCATACTTCAGCCTATTTGAGTATTTTAATTAACTTAAAACTAGAAAAATCTCTTAATCTGCTTTAAAGAGATTGTAATAAACAATTTGAAATAAGAATATATTTAAAGCTAGAATAACAATTCAAAGACAAATCACAGATGAGTTAGAAGAATAATGTCTAAGAATGAGACTCATGTCCTACATTTACAATTGGATACAGATAATTTAAAATGGCATAATAATGAAAATATGCCGCAGTAGCTACAAATAGATGCCAAATAGCATGAGCAAATGGAATGACACCATCGCATTTAAAAAATATTACCCCTGTTACATAGAGAATTCCACCAATTGTTAGCTCCATCATACCCAAAAAATAATGCTGAAAATAAATTTAAATTAATATTTCATAAAATTTTTTAAAGTGTATTCTTTTTTACTTTTGTATTAGTTTAATGTTTATGTATTCTCATTACATACCTCAGAAATTATAGGAAGTACTGGGCAAACACCCATAATTAAATAAAATAGAACTTCAAGTTTTTTGTACTTTTCATGGAAGATTTGTTGATATGCGATACCTAATAAAGCCATAAGCCAAACCACCCATCTCATATGTAAAGACCAACCCTCCAATGGAAGTTGTTCAATGGTTAACCAGGGGAAATATGAACCAGCTATAAAAATATAAATCATAGCTCTATCGCAACGATGTAGCACATCTTTTAAGTATCTAAAACAACCAGTAAATAATGTAGTAATTTGAAAATCTAACATAAAGAAACTTGCCTGTAACTATTACAATAAAATACCGAATGAAAGGATGTTGAAATAAAGAACAAGGATATTAAAGTTAAACCATAAACAAAAGCTGACGCCACTTGAGCATTATTTTGAGATCTCTGATAAAGTTCAGCAGCCCCCAAGATGCTAGGGAATATCCAAATTGCATGAGTTATAATATTTGCTATATGCTCTACATAAGCTGGCTGATACTGTTCTTTGGGTAATGCTTTCTTGTTCATCCATTTTGTGCTAAATAAGATTTTGTTTCAATAACACTAAGCAGACATAAAAATAAATTTACCTCCTAAGACCCTCCAAGACTAGAGATTTGGTATTTATATAAAAAAACTTTTTTATTGAAGCACTGTCACTAAGCATTCCTAAAGTGTGATGATAAAAATGTAATAATTTAGTTTACTAAAATTGAAAATATAATTGCATATTACGTTTTACACTCCGGTTTACAGTTCTTTACTTAATTGCTCTTGAAGACACAGAACCTTACTAGAAGAACAAAAAGTTAGACCTGTCCACACTCTGTATTTAAAATTTCTTTATTAATACCCCAAAAGCAGTTTTTAAACATCTCTTTACGTAGAATCCTGATCTCCAGTTTTCCCGTAACTTTGCACTTCGTAACTTGCTTTGTCTCTTAAGGCATTAAATAATTTATTGTCTATTTAACATGGTTTAAAATAGGAAATTTAATGATCAATATGCCTATTATTTGCATTGTTTACGCACTGGTTTACGCCATTTGTCATTTGCCAGCTGTTTGAATTTGAAAATGTATTGATTAACCTTATATCTCTGAGTTAATTTTACCTCTGCTGCCAAGGCATTGAAAAAAAAAACTGCCAGGGCTAATTAATCTAACTGGGGCCTACTCATCTGTCTCTGGGTCTACTTTGTTTACGCGGAAACCGAACTGCGGTCCTTGGTCATATTTAAGCCCCGTTCTCAGAACTGCGTCGTGTCGACAGCGACACTGATTGACACTTCAAACGACCAATGGGAGCTGTACTAAATTTAAAATTGACAGCTGTTTGAATTTTGTACAAATCTGATTGGTTCTTTTGTCGTGTCGCTGGCGACAGTCGCAGTTCTGAGAACGGGGCTTTAGCTGTAGCTCTCGAGCTGTGTAAAGCGCCGTTCTCAGAACTGCGACTGTCGCCAGCGACACGACAAAAGAACCAATCAGATTTGTACAAAATTCAAACAGCTGTCAATTTTAAATTTAGTACAGTTCTCATTGGTTGTTTGAAATGTCAAACTGTGTCGCCCGCGACACGACGTTGTTCTGAGAACGGGGCTTTTTAGAGAGTGAAAAGTCTTTAGGATTTAGGATAAAAATATAAAAATCGATTCTTTGTTGGGGCAATAATGGCTCCAGATCTTTGCTCCAGATGGTACTGAGTACGGAGCATACTTGTATGAGTCGATTTCAAACATTCGCCAATAGGGTGGGTAGGCAGCTGTGGTTGAAAAAATAAAGAAGAAGAATAGTTAATAACCCCCAAAAAATAGAGGTTAATGTTTTTGAAAATTTTTTTGGGATGAAATTAAATAATATTTTAATATGGAAAAATACACACCTATTTTACAGGAATTATTCAAACAGAAATATTCTGCGATTAAAAGAACGTGGAATGTTCCAAGATATATTTCCTGACACAGCTGCGTAAGTTCATTCACGTAGAATATTTTAGATTAGGAAACTTAGCAGCTATGAAACTTTTCTAGGAATTCTGTTACAGACTTGATGAATGCTATGCCTCAAACAGTCTACGCTGGTTTTGATCCAACTGCCGACAGTTTACATGTAGGAAATCTTTTAATTTTGATAAATTTGTTACATTGGCAGAGAAGTGGTCATGAAACTATAGCATTGGTAAACTTTATAGGTTTCATTGTAACTGTTATTAACTTACAATTTTATTTATTTAGATAGGTGGGGCGACTGCTAAGATAGGGGATCCTAGTGGTAGAAATACTGAAAGAAAAGAATTAGCTCATGATTATATTAGTACAAATGTACATGGTATCCACAAAAATATTCAAACCATATTTGAAAATCACAAACAGTATTTGTGGACAGGCAAAAATGAGCTTAAACCACTTAGGTATATATTAAAATTTAATGTTTTTAGTACATTTCAGAGTTTACTACATTACATAATTACTAAAGAAAAAAAGTTATTTATTCACAAAAATAATTGCAAAACACTTTTTAGAATAGTAAATAATGATGACTGGTATAGTAAAATATCAGCCATTGAACTTATAGGTAAGGTAGGAAGGCATTTAAGAATGGGAACATTACTCTCAAGACATAGTGTACAGTCTAGGTTAAACTCTACATATGGAATGAGTTTTACAGAATTTAGTTATCAACTTTTTCAAGCATATGATTGGTTGCATCTATTTAAACATTACCAATGTGCATTTCAAGTCAGTATGTATTAGCAGAGTTTTGAAAATATATAATTTTAGTGGTATTTTAGATAGGTGGTAATGACCAAATGGGCAATATTATGTCTGGCCATGAATTAATTAGTAAAACATTGGATAAACCAGTATATGGTAAATATATTGTATGAAATTCTTTAAAAAATCAGTACTATTTATTTTTTTTCAGGTCTAACAATTCCATTAGTAACAACTGAAATTGGGGATAAATTTGGAAAATCAGCTGGAAATGCTGTTTGGTTATCTCCAGAAAAAACCTCAGCATTTACTCTATATCAGTTTTGGATGAGGCAAGCTGATTCAGAAGTAGAGAAATATCTAAGGCTTTTTACATTTGATTCAGTAAACTATATTGCTGATCTCATGCGAAAGCATAAAGAAAAACCAGAATTAAGACTAGCTCAAAAGAGACTAGCTGAACAAGTAATATTTTCAGAGCATTAATTGAATTAATCTATCAATAACATAATTGAACTTATAAATACCATATGATCGAATAAAAACGGCGTCAGCGATGGCTATGAAATGAAGATCGCTGTCATTTCATATGTAAATTTATATGGAAAATGTCATCGATCGTCATTTCCAAGCCAACTGGACGCCGGTTTTATTCGATCATACGGTATATGATTGATAACTGAATGAATCAAAAAAACCCTCATCTAATAAAATATATTTATTTTAGGTAACACTTCTGGTTCATGGGGAAGAGGGTCTTAGAAGGGCTCAAAATGTTACAGATGTTCTTTATAAAGGAAATCTTAAAACATTAAGTGAACTGGAACCCGCTGATATTGTTCAAATATTTGAAGGAGCAACCTTGGTTGAAATTTTACCACAGGCAGGGCAGACTATTTTAGAATTATCAATGAAGATTGGTGGTTTTAGCAGAGTTGGTAAGTTTTTTCTCAAATTTCGTCCTCTTAGCCTTACTACGTAGTTCTGCCTGAAAATTTCAATTTTGAAGAAAATGGACATACACTAGTTCTAATCTAAGGGGACGATTTTCATACTAATGATTTTGTTTTGATTAAAATAAACTCTTTTAGAAGACGCAGTGAGAATCATTTCGGCAGGAGGATTTTATGTAAATCAGCAAAAAGTACAAAATCCAAATGAAGTAGTAAACGCTAATGCACATATATTAAAAAACAATACATCTGTTATAAGAGTGGGCAAAAAAAGTTATTATATTGTTAAATGGCTGGTTTAATATTTATTGTGATAATAAAAAAGTAAATCCTTAAACATTTTTTTCTTAACTCGTTACTGTATTGCATAGTTTGATTGTGACTTTATGAACTTCCTATACCTAAGATAACATATTCCTATATACATATATTCAAAAAATTAACATTTTTTTCCAACAATCATTATTTTTCAAACAATACAATATTTACCTTTGATGGGTCGAAATACAATTCAAAATTATAGTACTAAAAGCATAAATGTGATCTGGATGTATCTTGGTTACTATTCTCAATTTTTGCAAAAAATAATCAATGTCCAAAATAAACTGATAGTTTGTAAGTCGAAAAGCAGACACCAATATCCCAATGGGCAAAAAGAACTTTGAACACATCAAATATCGAAATGCTGTTGGGTCATCTGAATATAAGTCTTTTAATTCTTCAAACCATATCTTTCTCAGTAAATATACGAGTTGGAATATGTTAATACACAGTCTGTGTAAGGTATCATTTAATCTATAATCTGTACGAACATGTTGAAAGAAAGTATTAAAGTCATCCAACACTGTCGTAAATGGAAGTCTGCAGTCTAAAATGTGTAAAATCTCCCTTTCCAGACTTATAATCATTTTAGTTGTATATTCTCGACCTGTCATAGTCAGCATAAACTTTTGTATTGATGGAGTTTTCATTTCAAATGTACCTCCCACATATTTGCTTACAATAAAAAATACGACACATACAGAGAATAATGGGTCGTATATTTTTTCTCCTCGTAGATCTTTCAGATAAATGTATTGTTCTATAACATCTACAGTCATGAAGAATACTTGAAGTTCTTGGTTGAAGGTGTTACATGCTAGTTGAATAACCCCAACTGTGTATTCTTCAAGTATGGGTTCCTTGTAGTAATCTAGTTCATGTTCCATTTGTTCGAACCAATTTTTTAAAAGGTTTTTCTCAAAAATTTTATTCATAGAGGTTGATTTTTATCAAAAATATACAGTAAAAGCGAAAATTTTGACAATAAAACAAAAAAGCGCGTAAAGTTGAACTACGATAGTTCGATTGCTTTTCATGAGATAGCGCTATATTCACAGAAAAAAAAATTAAGCTGATTTAAGTGGATTTAAGCCAAGGATTTAAGCATAATTTAAGCTTCAAGCTTTGGTATCAAGGTACTAGATACTGCTCCGACCTTAACCGAATCATAAATTAACTTTTTGAGGAACTTTGTATGCTGTCATCTGGCTGTCATAAAGTTGAAGATATACAGGATGATTTTCCTGCAAGTGGGTTATGCTTGGTTATGCTCTTATGCTTTTGGGGAATGATGAGGGACGTCGAAATCACAGATTTAGATTTCTTATTGTTAGGGTCACTATTAATAAGTGCCCTGTCGCAAGTAGTTACAGGGTGTTTCAAAAAACATGTGCCATCTCTCGTGGGGAGATTCCTCATGTAAAAATAAGATTTATTTTTCATATCAATGTAGATCCAATTCTGCTTTGTTTCGTAACTACAGGGTGTTATAGTCTTACTATGTTTTCGATTTATTATAATTTTCTTCCAAGTACTTTTAGTGAGTCGAATGCAATTTTGAGGGTGCTATAAGTGCTACATAGAGGTAAAACCATCAAATAATTTTTACTATATTAATTGGGGTTTATATTAAAAAAAATAATATCTTTTTAATTGCGGCATTTCAACTTTATTTTACAACAAAGAAGTGGATCCAGGTAAGAAGTAATAAGGCTCTAGGTGAAGTGTTATATTCGTTATGTATTGTAAAAAAAATCTAAATGAAGTGTAACGAGAAGGCGGTTGGTTTTCCCATAACGGCAAACAACATAACTCTTTGTTACTTTCAGTTTTTCATTATTTTTGAAAGCTGAGGATTTTACAAAACCATTTTACAAAAATTTTTAGGACCTATCAAGTAATAAGTAATTAGATTTTATTAGTAATGCATTATTTTAAGGTGTTTTATTTGCTTTCTACACAACACTAATACTATCAATTGAAATAAAAACATACAATTCAAGCTAGGCGCGCCCACTAATAGGTCTGTTCCAAACACCGGAACACCGTTTTAACACCGGTGTTGAGCTGACACCGATGGCCAAATATGGGCTATATCAGGTGTTCCGGTGTCGACACCGACACCGATGTTGACACCGACACCGGTGTTGACGCCGACACCGACGCCGGTGTTGGTCTAGACACCGGTGTTCATCTCGATACCGGTTTTGATTACGACACCGGTTTTGATATCGATACCGGTGTTTGGTAAACGGGTTAAAGAAGAAATAATGTTAATTAATAAGTTCAAAATAAACCTGATAATATATCGGTATAACCTGATAATAGTATCGGTGCTTATTTTTATCGTTTATTAAAGCGCACCGACTTTAACTTACAGCTTTCAAATTTATTGTTGGAGTTGGATTGGATTTTTTAAGTTGTCGGAAAGAGTCAGTTCGTTTCGGAGCTGCTTGGTTGACATTTGTGGCAAATTTCTTTTAAAATGTCTAGGTGTGACACTAGTAGTCCCGATTCTAGTATATTTACACAAACTAACAAAATCTAAAAAACTAACAAAATATAATACTAACAAAGATAGAAGAACTAACAAAATCAATCTCTCGTCCTGCATATTGCTTGCAACGACCAGCACTGTTTTATTTCTACCGTTAACGCTTTGTTTTGTTTCGCTTCCGTTCGGCCTAGTGAGCGCGCCTAGGCTTGAATTGTATGCTTTTATTTCGGCCGGATTTTTTTCCGTTCTGTTCGTTTCGTAGAATGTAGAATGTTTAGGAGGGGAGTTAATCACCGCGACCTTACAGATCTATTGTGTGTTCCCCTTTCTTGAGTTAAAACGAGTTATAACTCATCATACAGACTGAGGGCTTTAACAGAAGCCAGTATCTAAGACGGCTCAACAGAGGCCATCTCTCCATCCTGGACATCAGCCGTACCAAAGTTCATAGCACGAGTGGTCGTCGTCTCGGCGCACTCAGTGATAAGGTGTTCGGTGTTGCCCCATTTTCCCCACAGAATGTGCATTCGCCGTTATTTCTCAGCTTCAGCCTACTGAGGTGTTCGTTGAGGAGACAGTGCCCTGTTAGAAACCCCATGACAATCCGAAGATTGTTTTTACTTAAATCAAGGAAAACCTATGATTTTTCTCGGTCGTAGGTTCCCGCTGGGAAAACAGAACGGTTCTGGTCCAGTTAGTGGAGTGTTCGCTCCTTTTCTAGCTAGATAATTTGCTTTTTCATTGTCTTCTATCCTTTGGTGAGCAAGCACCCAGATTAAGAGGACTTTATTTTCTTCGCCTAATTTGTTGAGCTTCTCTATAGGCATTCTTTGACTTCGAATTGATGGTTACTGAGTTGATCCCGTTTAGTGCTTGATATTCGGATAGGATGGCAATTTCCTGTTTTCGATCATTCCTATCTAAGATAAATTGTACGTACATTTCGATAGCGTAAATTTCTGCCTGAAGGATGCTGGCGTAGGTGCCCATTGGTTCGGAGTAAGTATTTAATTTTCGGCCGGTCTTCTATCCTTTGGTGAGCAAGCACCCAGATTAAGAGGACTTTATTTTTTTCGCCTAATTTGTTGAGCTTCTCTATAGGCATTCTTTGACTTCGAATTGATGGTTACTGAGTTGATCCCATTTAGTGCTTGATATTCGGATAGGATGGCAATTTCCTGTTTTCGATCATTCCTATCTAAGATAAATTGTACGTACATTTCGATAGCGTAAATTTCTGCCTGAAGGATGCTGGCGTAGGTGCCCATTGGTTCGGAGTAAGTATTTAATTTTCGGCCTAAATATTTCTATCCCTGTCCCTGCTTTGGTTTTAGAAGCATCGATACCACGTTATAGTATGGTGTTTTTTACAGTACGTCTGTCCGTTCTGTGGCTACGGGGTATCCGTGAGAGGGGAAACGATATTCTCTCGATGTTTTTCATAAAAAAATAGACGACGCGTCCCATCAATAAAAATTCAACAAATTTGCAAGTAGCCAATAAAATGAGTGGGCGGAGCGATTTGCGGTGACGTACTCGTTAAGTCGACGTATAAAATAAATTGCTGTTTATTTAAATCGTTTTTTTCCGCATTCCTTTCATAGACACAGATCCAGCAGACGTACTGTACATGCTGAGCAAGCGTTTCTTCCTTTCAATCCTTTTTATTACTCAATACTACAGTGAGGTGTTAAAAAGGATTGGAAGGAAGAAACGCTTGTTCAGCAGCCTCTGCCCGCTTCGCTTGGTTCTAAAATACAAATAATCGTTTTACCTTTTTATTCCTCTATTCCTCTGTTAATCTGTAGGATAGCAAAGGTATAACAAATAAATCTACAAAGCTACAGCTAAAAAATGTTTCTCTTATCTTAGTCTTATAATATACCTATTTATAAACATATTTACTTGTAATTGTACCCATTTCTATTATACAAACTGTATTTACTTTTGCATTATATCGCTTCTCAAATTATCGCTAGAATAATTGACAGTACATTTTAAATTCTATGTTGAATACTATAATCAGAGTTCACCCATACGCAGGGTTCGGAAGTAGTTAATTAAGACGTAATTTACCTGATTAACTACGTGTAGTTTTTCTTCAAAAACTACGTCTTTTCTCGTTCATTAACTACATGAAAACTACGTTTATAAACTACCTATTGATATTATGAATAATTTTGCTTTGTATGGGGGGTCTAAATAATATGATGTGTGAATATTATATTTAAAGCCAAATTTCTTCTGTTTTCTTAAATACATTGTGTTTTCTAAAGCTTCAACTTATTATAACCTCGCCTCAAACCTTTGATATTTGAAAATTACATACATAGGTTACATAAACTACACCCTCTACATAAACTACATTAACTACATGTAATGTAGTTTATGTAGTTTTTAAAAGTAACATGTAGTTTTCCGAACCCTGCCCATACGTCATTTATGTTTGTAGTATACAAATAAGAAGCTATTTCGGCTTTTTTTATCTAACTTTTTATTTTAAAAATTTAATTTAAAATTGTGTGTTTAGTTTCAGTTTACTAATTTAATAACAATCTTAATTACATAACTTAAAAATTCATGATATTCAGATCGTGTTCTTATCATAATAGTCAGAATATCTTTTCTATAACCCCATGAGCAGACTCTATAGGTATTGAAATACCATAGAAATACCCCATGAGCAGACTCTATAAGTATTGAAATACCATAGAAATACCCCATATTAGGGCATATAGAATATAAACTTCTTTGTTCGAAAATATATAAACTATAGGTAAAATATATTGAGTTCTGTAATGAAAATGCCAATTAAGTTAAACTTCCTTGTTTTTGAACCCATTTCTACAACCGGCACGAAAAACGGAAACCTTAAAATTTTTATGTATTTTAAAGTTTTATATATTATCTTCTAGAGAACCGATTTTGATGATTTTTTAAGCAATTTGTAGCTAAATTATTTGTCTTTTTAGTATCTCTTTCTAAATTAAAAATGAAAATTGCCATCTGACATTATACTATGAAATACTGAGAAAACAAAATGTTGATATTTTGGTTTTTAACAAAGGTTCAAAGAAAATTTATAACACCCTGTGGAGCACGTTAACAAGGCAAGGAATTTAAAAATAATTTTATCATCTAGGTGTATTTTTTCTCGATAGTTTGTTTTGGCTAATCTCAATAGCTTTTTTTATTGGAGATATTGGCTTTTGAAGAAGACACTAATACATTTCGTTCCAAACACCGGAACACCGTTTTAACACCGGTGTTGAGCTGACACGGGAACATCGGACAGCCCATATTTAGCCGCTGGTGTTAGCTCAACACCGGTGTTAAAACGGTGTTCTCGTATTTGGAACAGACCTATTAGTGGACGCGCCTAGCTTGAATTGTATGTTTTTATTTCGCCCGGAATTTCTTCCGTTCTGTTCGTTTGGTTTCGTTTCCGGCAAGTGAGCGACAAGCTTTATTTTATGAACGGTTTTAAGAAGTAACTCTGAGCTATAGCCAATTTTGCAATAGCATCTGTAGATCCATTGGTGATGCCGTCGCTTCGGAATCGAGAGGTTCCAGGTTCGTATCCCACAAATATAGAACTTTTTTATTTTTTACAACTGTTTTTATTTTTTAATTTATATACAGCTGTCGGCAATAGCAATCAAAACACGCCGTAGGTTAGTCTCTGGGATAAG